GACGCTAACACAGGGGTGATGTGCTCCATTCTGTTAAAACGTGTGTAAGGGATTTGGAGTCGAGACCAGAGAAGAGTTACATCCAAGTATCCATCTATATCTACAGTAGTTGTGTGTAAAAACTCTGGGTACAGACCCTGACGAATGCCCAGGCTCTTGGGATCATGCTTGCGTGTGTCTCTTGCAGGTCGACCATCTTGCAGCAGCAGTTTAACCGTGTGGGTCGTGTGGAGCATGGCTCGGTGGCCCTTCCAGGTATCATCAGTTCGGGGTCCATGGGGGGCTCTGACTCCTACAGTATGGGTTCTATGCCCTCAGCACAGCAGCAGCTCAGCACTGGTCAGCTACACCGTGGTCACATGCCCCCGCTGGTAAGGAAAGGTCACATGACTAACTGCTATACATTTATTCTTGTATGTGCTGTGGTTGTTAATTGTGAAATGCATTTGATCTGAAATACTAAGGTCGGACCAAATATCCGGCTCTAGTCCATTGAGTTTATACCATGGATGTAGCTGTAGTGTTGTTGGGAGCTTTATAACTGGTAGATTCCTGTGTTGCTGGTATCAGAACCAGGCCCAGCAGGCTCTGATGGGGACCATAAGCAGCAGTCTGCGGACCGTGCAGCAGGCTCAAGGAGACCTGGGACACATGGACCCTCTGCCTCCACTTGGACACGACCTGGTCAGTACTCCACTTTATCACCCATCAATTAACCTGCATCATTATGTAGTCAGACTGTACAACAAACAATGAGGACTGAAATCCTGTCCACTGTCACTTTACCTTAGTTATTTGCGCAATACTAATTTCAATGATGTCAGAAGGTGCAATATAGAACCACATGTGTCCACTTTGTCCCATACCCTCATACTGCTTACATGTACAGATATACACAAAAAACTACAACATTCTGATTAGTTTTTGTTCATTTATCTTGTGCTGTGTGCTCCTCACTGTTGTGTAACTGATGATGCAACACTGACATTTCCCCACTGTGGGACGCACAAAGGATCTCTTAATCTCTAGTCGTAGTGCTAGTATGATATTACATGTAAGTTGTGATGAGGCTCATTGGCCATTGCTTCCACAGGCTTCCAGAGTTTGGGTCCAGAACAAAGTGGATGAGTCCAAACATGAGATCCACTCCCAGGTCGACGCCATCACGGCTGGAACTGCGTCCGTGGTCAACCTCACTGCAGGTACATTTACAGGGACGCTATACAATTAGCATCAGCCGAAAGGAGAGATGAATTCTACCAGGGTATAGCAGCAGTAATGATTTGTATACATATAGACCCTGAGCAGGTTGTTTGAGAGCAGTAGAACAAAAATAGATAGATACAGGACCAGTCACTATTTGCACTGACTTCATTCTCTGTATCCCAGAACAGAACAACCCAGTGTTGCTAAATAACAAGATTCAGATTCAGATTCATTTATTTGCCATTTGCAGTAAAACCACATTGGAAAAATGGTGGTCTGTGTTGTTTAGGTGAGCCCTCTGACACGGACTACACAGCAGTGGGGTGTGCGATCACGACCATCTCCTCTAACCTGGGGGAGATGTCCAGAGGGGTGCGTCTCTTGGCCGCTCTGCTGGACGAGCCCCTGGGCACCGGGCACAAACTGATGGGTGCAGCGCGGATGTTGTCTGGAGCTGTGTCCAACCTCCTGCGCTCCGTGGAGCCTGCAGCTGCACAGGTGACGCCTCTGAGCGGGTTATTCATGGTCACTCTGTTGTTATCATGAACTGTATATACCTGTGTCAATGCTAATCAAATGGTGTATGTGTGTGTGTGTGTGTGTGTGTGCATGGTTTAGACATGTACTGTATGTAGAGCTCTATGCATTTCTGACTTCTTTGTTGGGGTGACAGTGGCTCAGTTGGTAGAGCATTGGCCTTTGAGCCAGAAGGTCGTGGGTTCGAGCCCACCTCAAGACTTTCTCCACCGACTCCCACTGATGTCTGCTGTTGTTGTGTCCTTGGGCAAGACCCACATTAGAATGAGTCTGGTGTGTGTGTGAATGGTTGGTGGACTGGTTGCCTCACTTCTGGCAGCTAGTAGTTTATCACAGTGGTGTTTGGAGAGAATGAATAATGACATGTAAAGAGTCTTTGAGTGTCCAAAAAAGCGCTGTATAAAACCATTGCATTATTATTTTTTATTTTTTTGCTAAACTTTATATTGTATTGTATTGTATTATGAGCATGTCAGCCATCCTTGTATTGTATTAGTCTCAATGGGGCTTAAATAAATAAATGAATAATATGCTAGCTCTATGAAGCTTATCATACTCTCTGTAACTGTCTGTATTACGCACCATTTTGTCTACATCTTTGGTCAATTATTAGGGGATGGGGATTTACAATCTTGTTCCTTCTCTCCCAAAAGCGCACGCTCCTGATTGGCTAATTGGTTGCTGTGTCGTTGTTTCCCACAAATGTAGCTCCAGTTTCCGCCTGTGGAGCATGTTTTGTGTTATCGGCTTCTCCAGCAGTAACGCTAACACTTCAGCTCCTTCTACAGTCTATGATAACGATACACACTCCCAAAAATGAATTCTGGTTCCTCATTTAAGCAAGGCAAGGACAATTTATTTGAATAGCACAGTTCATACACAAGGAAACTCAAAGTGCTTAGCAAAACAAGGTCACACAAAGCATTATAATCATAAAAGAAATCGCAGTATATAAAGGAGTCCTAAAAGAATCCTTCAGTTCTATGCACAGCTAAACAGAAATGTTTTCAAGTTGGATTTCAACATGGTCAGAGTAGAAGCCTGTCTCACATTTTCGAGAAGACTGATTTTAGCTGCATGAATCTGAAATTCTGCCTGCCCATGTTTAGACCTGACTCTGGGACCAGCAGGAGGTTCTGTTTGGATTCCAATCTGGTATTAATGACAGCCAACGTTCAGCCGTTCTCTGCTCGCCGTTTTTCACCTGCTGACGTTGACTTCTGCTGTGTCTTTTCAGCCCAGACAGAATGTTCTCACCGCAGCAGGAAGCATCGGTCAGGCCAGTGGAGACCTGCTCCGGCACATCGGCGAGGGCGAGACCGACGACAAGTTCCAAGTGAGTCTTTCTCTCCATCCATTCCGTCGCTCATCATCACATTCGAAGTACGTCTTGTGGCTTCGGTCGTGGTAACCTTCACAGCACCTTGCACCTCTCCAGTGTAAATCCCAGGGGAAGAACCGTGCTCCGTGTTCTATTGACATTATTTCTCTCCTGACCTTGAGCTAATTCTGTTCTCATACATGCTGAGGATCACATTACCTTCAAGGCAACATTTTTAGATTGTGCCGTTACCGTTCAATTGGGATTGAAATGATTCTGCAAATGTATTTCTATCTTTCCCTTTGGGCGCACGTGAAACCAACAGCGGAGGTAACTAACTTTTTAACCACAAGAACAAACACTTTGGCTCTATCAATAGTTAGCACATGTGTTGCTTTTAACTCACAAGACTTTCTTACAACGATGCAAAAGATCCATCCAAAAGATAGACTGATTAGAACACACAACATTTACTTTCACAAGACTATTTATGCTGCACCAAAACAATACATTTCCGCAGCTTTTACTGAATCTAACTGTGTGTGAGTTAGCCCCATAAACCTTCCCTCTCAGATGTGACCTGTGTGTTCCAGGACACTCTGATGACTCTGGCCAAGGCGGTGGCGAATGCGGCGGCCATGTTGGTGCTGAAGGCGAAGAACGTGGCTCAGGTGGCGGAGGACACCGTGCTGCAGAACCGCGTCATCACTGCAGCCACACAGTGCGCCTTGTCCACGTCACAGCTGGTGGCCTGCACTAAGGTACGCACACTCACTGCCATAGTATGAGTACAATAAGCATTAGCCAAAAGGAGAGATGCTTTGTTCCAGTATTATTAATGGAGTATTTAAGTCAATGTCAATGTCAACTTTATTTATATAGCACATTTACAACAACACCAGCTGCCCAAAGTGCTTCACAGGCACGAATGATAAAAATAAAAATAAAACAGTATAAAATACATACACATGCATGTAAAAGTAAAGTGGTAAAACCTCAACTGGTGTTAAAAGCCAAGGTGTAAAAATGTGTCTTTAAACTAGACTTAAAGGAATAGTTCACCGTTTTTACATACTGACATATGTTCTTACCTTAGACTAGTTAATATGTACCTGTCTGGTCTTAGTCCGTGCGCTCTGTCATGCAAACGGAGCAAAAACTGGAGCACAACCGCAGCCTCCTCTGTATATTTTGTAGCACCAAAAGGTAGCTCCCGCTAGAAGCTACCAAACTCTTCCAAGTGTTCCCTATTAAATGTATATAGTTACGTGACGTGTTACACTGCAAAGTATAGTAACACAGAAATGTAACAGTCGATTTTCTCAGCGGATAAAACGGGTACTATATTGTGAGGCGTAGTAATCTGAGGGGCGCTACGTCCGCGCACTAACTTCTCTCCGGAGACTTCTCTCTCACTCACTTCCGTCAATAGAAGCAGCGTGACTTTTAGTACACACAGTAGCAGCGAGAGAGAAGTCTCCGGAGAGAAGTTAGTGCGCGGACGTAGCGCTCCTAACTTCTCTGCGCACTAACTTCTCTCCGGAGACTTCTCTCTCGCTGCTACTGTGTGTACTAAAAGTCACGCTGCTTCTATTGACGGAAGTGAGCGAGAGAGAAGTCTCCGGAGAGAAGTTAGTGCGCGGACGTAGCGCCCCTCAGATTACTACGCCTCACAATATAGTACCCGTTTTATCCGCTGAGAAAATCGACAGTTACATTTCTGTGTTACTATACTTTGCAGTGTAACACGTCACGTAACTATATACATTTAATAGGGAACACTTGGAAGAGTTTGGTAGCTTCGGTTCTTCGGTGTTTGGTTCTTTGGGCATAGTCACGGATATGGGGAAAGTAGTATTTATTTTCATGGATTACTTCACATTTATCATTCATGGGCGGGCGCAGTGACGCATCTTTAAGTTCTGCATAACGCACCTGTGACTGTAACATGCAATTAACAGACAAACCAAGCCATCGTCAGGAGCACACAGCCCGTTGGTATGTACAAAGCTCATAAAACACCCAGCGCAGTAACGTAGCGATGTACCAGCATTGTTTAGGTCAGTGTGTGTGGCTCATCCGCGGCACTTTGTGCTGGTGTAGTGGGGTGAGTTAGTGAGAGCGCACAGCAGCCAGAGCACTCACTGTGACCGTGGTCATAACCACAGGTACAGGTGGACTGTAGCAGTAGTAGACTGCACGGGTGGTAGCGGAGACACGTGTGGAGCGCTGTATGTGTGCCATAGTTTGTTTTGGTCCGTGCTGACACATGAGAGAGCAGAGGCACGCATAGCGCAGGCGCACTCGGCGCCAGGCATGCTGGGTAGTGTAGTTTTGCGGTGGTTTGCCGCGGCTACACTGGGAAATGCGCGATAATGTGTTTATTTGCTTTACAAATGTTTATTTGTGTTACATGTAAATAAGTACTAAATGTTTATTTACAAATAACAATGTTCAGTTTAGTGGCAGATAATTTAAAGGGACAATTAGTGGTAATTGTTTATTTCTGTATTCTTTCCAGGTTTATGACCTGTGGTCAAACATTTGTTCTAATAAATTAACAAAATATGACAAACACGAGTCATGCCATGTGTGCTGCCTGCCGTTAGCCCCTTCGGAGGGCTATAACATAAAAAGTCCGAACATAGCGGGAACTACCTTTTGGTGCAACAAAATATACAGAGGAGGCTGCGGTTGTGCTCCCGTTTTTGCTCCGTTTGCATGACAGAGCGCACGGACTAAGACCAGACAGGTACATATTAACTAGTCTAAGGTAAGGTAAGAACATATGTCAGTATGTAAAAACGGTGAACTATTCCTTTAAAAACTTCCAATGAAGGAGCTGAAGGAGTATTTAAGTATTTTACCGGAGTGGATTTTTATACTAGGATCCACACTTTTACTCAAGCAACACTAGTGCTTATTCCACCTCGTTGTAAGACCGTGATTCCCTGAAACGTGAACTGGAGAGTGTTAAAATAGCTTGCTTTAGCCCCATTCTGTTGAAGAGAACCTCTGGGGGAATTGCAATATAATTAAGTCTTGGTGTTAGTAAGACATAGCTTTACCATATTAAGCTATATAAAAAGAACAGTGCGCAATAAATGCCATTGGCCTAAAAAGAACCAGGGAAAACCAGGTCCATACAAAGTACCGATTAAACAGGGTGGAACGTCTTGCGGTAGAGTAAAGCAAGAAATGGGGCTTTCTATTGCAAGCAGAAGCACGAGATTACTTTTTTTACTATGTTCGATAAATCTACCAATAAGCAGAATATTAGGTTACAGGCCAGTAACCTTAATTTTCTACTAAATTGTATTAAATCACTTAAATCAACTGTTTATTCTCAAATTGAATGAAATTGGAAGAACCCTGTATCTCAGTATATACAGTATGTTATAAAATAGACACCCCGTCCCTAATTTGCAATTCAATCACATTTATTTTGTTTGGCCTTAATTCACAACTTCTCGGAGGACTTCACAATATTGTAGATTTGCCAACACAGATCAGAGAATCAAACGGTTCGAGCGCAAGAAATGCAATAACAACAAACACATTGGAGCCATTGGTCCCAAAAGGGCAGATGTCCAATGTCCTTAAATGTTTATAAATGTCCATGAATGTCCTTAAACATCCTGGATCTTTACCTCTAAAGAATAAAAAACTCTTAATCTTAGTCGTTGCAGCAGTTGCACATAAGGTTTTTGCTGTAGTAGCCAGGCTTTCTGTGCGTCCAGGTGGTGAGCCCGACCATCAGCTCCCCGGAGTGCCAGGACCAGCTGGTGGAGGCGGGGAAGCTGGTGGAGCGATCAGTGGAGACCTGCGTCAAATGGTGCCGATCGGCCAGCGACGACTCGGAGCTGCTCAAACAGGTGGGAGGAGCCGCCGCCGTGGTCAGCCAGGCCCTCAGCGACCTCCTGCAGCACGTCCGCCACTACGCCAGCTGCGGAGAGCCCATCGGGCGCTACGACCAGGCCACCGACACCATCATGAACGTGACGGAGAACATCTTCACGTCTATGGGGGATGCCGGTGAGATATAAGCTCGATTTACTTATATTTCCGTGTATTTATTTGTATAGCACAGTTCATACACAAGGCAGCTCAAAGTGCGGAACAAAACAATCACTAATGCACTAGGACTGAAAAACCTGCACCGCTACAGCCACTTTTTTATTGTACATCATCAGTGTTGGGCACTTTACTTTGAAAAAGTAATTAGTTATAGTTACTAGTTACTTCTCCCAAAAAGTAACAGAGTTACTAACGGAGTTACTCCACTATAAAAGTAACTAGTTACCAGTAAAAGTAACTATTGCGTTAATTTTTCGTTTCTCTCTGGAACATAATGTTGACCTTTGACACACACACACACACACCCACACCCATAAACACACACACTCCACACACACACACATACACCCCACAGATAAGATAAGATATAAAGTCTGCCCGCCTGAGTTTCACCAAGCTAAGCGGAACCCAGCCAACATCAAAACCAAATCCGACACACACACAGACCCCCAAGCAGGCCCCCACCCCAAAAAGGGGGGAGGGAGCCCACGCCCGGCCCATTCCCTCTCTTATTTTGTTCCTTTTTCCCAAGTGTTTTTCTTAACTAAACGTGTCATGCATTAAAATAAGCTTTCTCTTACCCTGACTTGTGTATTATCATTATATGCACATATGCACATATTATTCATGTTATTATTATATTTATCTACTTATTCATTCATTTTTTATTTTATTTTATTATTATTATTAATTTTATTTTATTATTTTATTTTAATTAATTCAAGGGACATAAAGAATAGATACAAATGTGTGACTAATTTGCGATTAATCGCGAGTTAACTATGAAATTCATGCGATTAATCGCGATTAAATATTTTAATTGTTGGACAGCACTATATATATATATATATATATATATATATATATATATATTATATATATATGATATATATATATATATATATATATATATATATATATATATATCATATAAATCAAGTGGACAGTTTGTTTGGCTACAGCAGAATATGTTTCATGCATTGTTTGTTCAAACAAAACGCAAAACTATGAGTTATGGGTCTTACCTTATAAGTGACCTGCACAGCCCACTTCGGTTCAGACCAGTTCTGTGTTTAAGTCCAGATAATAGTTTGAGCGTAGATATGTAATCCTCCGTTTGGAAATGAGTCCAATGAGTTTTAAAAAGTAAAACAAACATAAACTCCTGTTTTGCTGCAGCCGGGTGCATCTTATTTCTAAAACCAACCGTCTTACACTTCACCTCTTTCTTATCATTCCTATAGTCATTGAAAAATTACCCTAAATGCATATGATCTTAAAATGTGTTATATGTATGTTAGCCAAACCTGCTGCTGTTCTTAGCAGATAAACCAGGAAGAGAAAGGAGCTTATCCATGGAATTGTATGCAGCCTTCTGCGCTCACATGCGCCCCCCTGAGGCCTCACGCTGAAACAAGCCGTGGTAGAGTCTGATTAAGACCCATTTGTTTCAAAAACACACTTTATGACCGTCCTCTCAACTGTAGACATGTAGACTGTAAAGGAAATATGTTTTACATCAGCCAATAATATCTGAGAGGTTTTCTCATCCTTCTCTCATGACAACAGAGTCCTATCATGAAGGAAAAAAAGTTCATTGTGCGACTTGAGTAACGCGCAGTAACGGGATGTCGGCAATGATAGCGGCGTTATAGTTACAGTCAAAGTAATTAGTTAGATTACTCGTTACTGAAAAAAGTAACGGCGTTATTCCCATCACTGTACATCATTGAGTAATTCCATCCGAGCCAAATGTGACCAAATGTACATTTCTCCAGATCAATAAAGTCTTTCTTATCTTAACTTATCTGAAAATAGAAACAATCACACAAGGCATTAAATCATACATTGTCAGAGTGAAAATCCCTTTGGTAGCACATCTAAACAGAATTGATTTTAACCTGGATTTAAATATTGTCAGAGGAAAACTTTGCCAGAATTTAGCTGCAAAAATCTGAAACGCTGCCTCCCCATGTTTAGTCCTGACTCTGGGACCAGCAGGAGGCCAGTCCCTGTGCTCCTCAGAGTCCCAACAGGAGGCCAGTCCCTGTGCTCCTCAGAGTCCCAACAGGAGGCCACTCCCTGTGCTCCTCAGAGTCCCAGCAGGAGGCCAGTCCCTGTGCTCCTCAGAGTCCCAACAGGAGGCCAGTCCCTGTGCTCCTCAGAGTCTCAGCAGGAGTCCAGTCCCTGTGCTCCTCAGAGTCCCAGCAGGAGGCCAGTCCCTGTGCTCCTCAGAGTCTCAGCAGGAGGCCAGTCCCTGTGCTCCTCAGAGTCCCAGCAGGAGGCCAGTCCCTGTGCTCCTCAGAGTCCCAGCAGGAGGCCAGTCCCTGTGCTCCTCAGAGTCCCAGCAGGAGGCCAGTCCCTGTGCTCCTCAGAGTCCCAGCAGGAGTCCAGTCCCTGTGCTCCTCAGAGTCCCAGCAGGAGGCCAGTCCCTGAGAACTGGACTGAGGTTATGGCACTTCCTGGTTCTTGTCAGGACTTGTATGTCGAGCAGTCCCAGATGACGCTGTCTTATTAAAGGTGGGCGGCACGGTGGCTGAGTGGTTAGCGCTCTCGCTTCTCAGCAAGAAGGTCCTGGGTTCGAATCCCGGCCGGAACAGGGCCTTTCTGAGTGGAGTTTGCATGTTCTCCTCGTGTCTGCGTAGGTTTCCTCCGGGTGCTCCGGTTTCCCCTACCACTAAAAACATGCACAACAGGTCTGAATGTAAATGAGAGAGTGAATGGAAGGTCAATAGGTGTCTTGATTTTTGTATATTTTTTTAGCCTTAAAATGGGATTTTCCAATGAGACAAGCACCAGTTTTTTTTTAAGTTTAGGACAAGAAAACTCACATGGAATGATAATTTTTGACATGACTTTAGTGTATTTTTCCATTGGCAAGTCTTGTTTTTGGACTAAATATACTTGAATCAAGATTCTATTTTCTAAACCTTTGAATGGATGTATTTGGACCTAAACAAACGTTGTAAAACCTTTATGTCAATGCACATATATAAATAATGAGCAAGTACAAGTCTAAGTAGGAGTGGGAAGAAGTCCAATGTTCTGTAGAACCTCTACTCTGTCTTTACAAAACAAATCCTGCTTCCTTCATTGGCCGCATTCAAAATTTGCTCCTGAATAATTTATACAGTGAATACTAACAGCCAAACATATTGATATGAAAGGAAACGCAATAAATAATATATGGTAAACTCAAAGGTTTAGACCAAAGAATTCAGATCAAAATTGTAGAACAGAACAGAGATAGTTTATCTCAGTTTCTTTCTCATGTTTCACACTTTTCACACAGTCAAACTCACTCAGTATCTGGACTTTGCAAACACGAATAATGACGGCAACAGTTTAAAGAGGATTTTCTCTCAATGTCAACTTTATTTGTTTTTCACTTGCTTTTTACTTATAAAACAGAAACACAGAGCTCCACTGATGATTGATTTTAATATTTGGGAGGAAGTGTTTTATGGGAGACTCGCTCGTGGCTCTTTGTCTCATGGCCAACTCTGAAGGGGACTGTCTGCTTTGAATCAGAGGGCACCTCCCAAACATAACTGAGAACACATGACCAGGGCAGTGGGACATCAATCTTTATGATGATCCTGAATGAGACGCTCAAACTCAGAGTCTCGTTTTAGAGACAAATAATTGTGTTTCCATAATGTTTCTATAACACATGTTGTTTTTGTTTTTCCAGGAGAAATGGTTCGACAGGCCAGAGTTCTGGCTCAGGCTACGTCTGACCTGGTGAACGCCATGAGATCAGATGCAGAGGCAGAAGTGGACGTCGACAACTCCAAAAAACTATTGGCTGCAGCCAAACTTCTGGCAGATGCTACAGCGCGGATGGTGGAGGCAGCCAAGGTGAGTTATCCATGGATCTGATATCGTTTGAGCTATAGATCCCATCAGGAGATTACCTTACTATTCACAGTATTAGACTTTCAGAGTATTTCATGCAAAGCTCGGTTGATTTGTAGCAAACACTTTTACTCACAACATTCAGACACGTTGCTCATGTTTGGATCTGGTCTCTTGGTGACATCAGAGCTGCAGCCTCTGGCTCAGTGGTTATCATCTCCCTGTCTCTCCTGTGACACATATCCACCACTCGCCTCTTGCCTTCAGGGAGCGGCTGCTTATCCGGAGAACGAGGAGCAGCAGCAGCGGCTGCGGGAGGCGGCGGAGGGGCTCCGTGTGGCCACGAACGCCGCCGCTCAAAACGCCATCAAGAAGAAACTCGTCAACAGGCTGGAGGTGAGTCACATGACGGCTCTAAAGACATCACATTCATTACATTTATTAAAATAAAACGTTGATTTCTGTTTCTTTGTCACAGGTCGCTGCAAAACAAGCCGCTGCTGTCGCCACTCAGACCATCGCTGCTGCTCAGAACGCAGCTGTGTCCAACAAGAACACAGCTCTGCACCAGCAGCTCGTGCACAGCTGCAAGGTACATGCAGCACATATGTGCACACAGTAACACAGGTGCATGCTGACAGTAACACAGGTGCATGCTGACACTAACACAGGTGCATGCTGACACTAACACAGGTGCATGCTGACACTAACACAGGTGCATGCTGACAGTAACACAGGTGCATGCTGACACTAACACAGGTGCATGCTGACACTAACACAGGTGCATGCTGACACTAACACAGGTGCATGCTGACAGTAACATATAGGTGCATGCTGACAGTAACACAGGTGCATGCTGACACTAACACAGGTGCATGCGGACACTAACACAGGTGCATGCTGACACTAACACAGGTGCATGCTGACACTAACACAGGTGCATGCTGACACTAACACAGGTGCATGCTGACACTAACACAGGTGCATGCTGACACTAACACAGGTGCATGCTGACACTAACACAGGTGCATGCTGACAGTAACATATAGGTGCATGCTGACACTAACACAGGTGCATGCTGACACTAACACAGGTGCATGCTGACAGTAACATATAGGTGCATGCTGACACTAACACAGGTGCATGCTGACACTAACACAGGTGCATGCTGATAGTAACATATAGGTGCATGCTGACACTAACACAGGTGCATGCTGACAGTAACACAGGTGCATGCTGACAGTAACACAGGTGCATGCTGACAGTAACACAGGTGCATGCTGACACTAACACAGGTGCATGCAGACAGTAACATATAGGTGCATGCTGACACTAACACAGGTGCATGCTGACAGTAACACAGGTGCATGCTGACAGTAACACAGGTGCATGCTGACACTAACACAGGTGCATGCTGACAGTAACACAGGTGCATGCTGACAGTAACACAGGTGCATGCTGACACTAACACAGGTGCATGCTGACACTAACACAGGTGCATGCTGACACTAACACAGGTGCATGCTGACAGTAACATATAGGTGCATGCTGACACTAACACAGGTGCATGCTGACACTAACACAGGTGCATGCTGACAGTAACATATAGGTGCATGCTGACACTAACACAGGTGCATGCTGACACTAACACAGGTGCATGCTGATAGTAACATATAGGTGCATGCTGACACTAACACAGGTGCATGCTGACAGTAACACAGGTGCATGCTGACAGTAACACAGGTGCATGCTGACAGTAACACAGGTGCATGCTGACACTAACACAGGTGCATGCAGACAGTAACATATAGGTGCATGCTGACACTAACACAGGTGCATGCTGACAGTAACACAGGTGCATGCTGACAGTAACACAGGTGCATGCTGACACTAACACAGGTGCATGCTGACAGTAACACAGGTGCATGCTGACAGTAACACAGGTGCATGCTGACACTAACACAGGTGCATGCTGACACTAACACAGGTGCATGCTGACACTAACACAGGTGCATGCTGACAGTAACATATAGGTGCATGCTGACACTAACACAGGTGCATGCTGACACTAACACAGGTGCATGCTGACAGTAACATATAGGTGCATGCTGACACTAACACAGGTGCATGCTGACACTAACACAGGTGCATGCTGATAGTAACATATAGGTGCATGCTGACACTAACACAGGTGCATGCTGACAGTAACACAGGTGCATGCTGACAGTAACACAGGTGCATGCTGACAGTAACACAGGTGCATGCTGACACTAACACAGGTGCATGCTGACACTAACACAGGTGCATGCTGACACTAACACAGGTGCATGCTGACAGTAACACAGGTGCATGCTGACAGTAACACAGGTGCATGCTGACACTAACACAGGTGCATGCTGACACTAACACAGGTGCATGCTGACAGTAACATATAGGTGCATGCTGACACTAACACAGGTGCATGCTGACACTAACACAGGTGCATGCTGACAGTAACATATAGGTGCATGCTGACACTAACACAGGTGCATGCTGACACTAACACAGGTGCATGCTGATAGTAACATATAGGTGCATGCTGACACTAACACAGGTGCATGCTGACAGTAACACAGGTGCATGCTGACAGTAACACAGGTGCATGCTGACAGTAACACAGGTGCATGCTGACACTAACACAGGTGCATGCTGACAGTAACACAGGTGCATGCTGACAGTAACACAGGTGCATGCTGACACTAACACAGGTGCATGCTGACACTAACACAGGTGCATGCTGACACTAACACAGGTGCATGCTGACAGTAACATATAGGTGCATGCTGACACTAACACAGGTGCATGCTGACACTAACACAGGTGCATGCTGACAGTAACATATAGGTGCATGCTGACACTAACACAGGTGCATGCTGACACTAACACAGGTGCATGCTGATAGTAACATATAGGTGCATGCTGACACTAACACAGGTGCATGCTGACAGTAACACAGGTGCATGCTGACAGTAACACAGGTGCATGCTGACAGTAACACAGGTGCATGCTGACACTAACACAGGTGCATGCAGACAGTAACATATAGGTGCATGCTGACACTAACACAGGTGCATGCTGACAGTAACACAGGTGCATGCTGACAGTAACACAGGTGCATGCTGACACTAACACAGGTGCATGCTGACAGTAACACAGGTGCATGCTGACACTAACACAGGTGCATGCTGACACTAACACAGGTGCATGCTGACACTAACACAGGTGCATGCTGACAGTAACACAGGTGCATGCTGACACTAACACAGGTGCATGCTGACACTAACACAGGTGCATTCTTTAATGATTTGCTGTTAATTGGATCCTGTGCTGGATGGAAGGCCGTGGCAGACGGGATCCCGCAGCTGGTCCAGGGAATGCGCAGCAGCCACTCTCAGCCAGAGGAGCTCGGGGCCCAGCTTGCTCTCATCATGGCCAGCCAGACCTTTTTACAGGTGAGGGACAGATGCTGTTTAGCCAAATGTTATGTTAAGAACTCCAAGCCATTTCTTCTGTTGTGGTCTCGTAGCCCGCGAGCCGAATGGTGTCCTCTGCAAAGTCAGCTGTTCCCACCGTCGCTGACCAAGCAGCTGCGATGCAACTGGGGCAGTGTGCCAAGAACCTGGCCACGTGCTTAGCCGAGCTGAGGACGGCCACGCAGAAGGTAGAGGAGCCGCCACTTTAATAATAATAATACATCAAACTTGTATAGCGCTTTCTTGGACACTCAAAGACGCTTCACATGGGGAGTAGAATACAATAATAAAAAGGGGTTTACGGAAAAGCTTGTTTGAAAAGATGGGTTTTGAGTACAGATTTAAAGTTTGATAGTGAGTCAGAGTTTCTAATGAGCAGTGGGAGTGAGTTCCAGAGGGTTGGGGCGGCAATGGCAAAAGCTCTGTCCCCCAAGGTTCGGCGGTTAGTGCGGGTGATGGGAGTGAGGAGGTTGGAATTGGCTGAGCGAAGGCGGCGGGTGGGTTGGTGCTGCTGTAGGAGCTCAGTAAGGGGGCGGGGCCAGGTTATGGAGGGACTTCTAGGTGAGGAGGAGGAGCTTGTAGTGGATGCGGTATTGAACGGGAGCCAGTGGAGCTGCTGGAGGACAGGGGTGATGTGTTCTCTGGACCGGGTGTGGGTGAGCAGGAGGAGCTTGTAGTGGATGCGGTATTGAACGGGAGCCAGTGGAGCTGCTGGAGGACAGGGGTGATGTGTTCTCTGGACCGGGTGTGGGTGAGCAGGAGGCGGGCTGCAGAGTTCTGGATGTATTGCAGTTTTTGGAGATGAGTGGTGGGAAGTCCGTAGAGGAGGCTGTTGCAGTAGTCGGAGGTCTGGAGTCTGGAGGTGATGAATGCGTGGATGAGGATTTCGGCTGTTGACTGGGTAAGGGAGGGGCGGAGGCGGGCAATGTTGCGGAGGTGGAAGAAGGAGGTTTTGGTGATGTGTTTGATGTGGGTTAACTTTAGCTGTTATTCATTTGGGGCCTTTTCTTTAAATGTAGGTTCAGAACAGCTGGTGCAAAGGACAGGAGCAGGATAAATGAGTTTGCTAACATTTTCACTTTTGCACAGGAGAAAACACTTCTGAGTCCTTTATGGTTAACTGCAATCCTGTCCTAATGTATGCATGATTTGGGCTGCATTTAGTGAACAATTGTGTTTTGTCATTAGGCCTATGAAGCCTGTGGCCCATTGGAGATCGACTCCGCTCTCAAAACTGTACAGACGCTGAAGAGTGAACTCCAGGACGCCAAGATGTCTGTCATGGAAGCCCAGCTGAAACCTCTCCCAGGGGAAACGGTCTGATTTATACAAAAGTTGCATCCAGAATTGTCTCATATCCATTTTTCTTCAAGCTTACGGCTGACTCTTTCTCTTCTGAATGAAGCTGGAGAAATGTGCTCAGGATTTGGGCAGCACTTCGAAGACTGTGGGATCTTCTATGGCACAGCTGCTGACGTGTGCCGCTCAGGGCAACGAACACTACACAGGTGCAGACATCGCATCTGTTTTATCTTGTTTAATAAAATGTGCTATATGAATAAAGTGGATTGGATTGGATCACAGTTAGAGATGTTTTACTTACTTCTATATTATTCTTTATTATTACTTACCTATTTATTATGATAAAGTTACACATGTTATTCTAGCTTCTTTATTATGCTAAAGATAGAGATTTTGTACTAGCTTCTTTATTATGCTAAAGCTACAGATTTTATACTAGCTTCTTTATTATGCTAAAGCTACAGATTTTATACTAGCTTCTTTATTATGCTAAAGCTAGATATTTTGTACTAGCTTCTTTATTATGCTAAAGATAGATTTTATACTAGCTTCTTTATTATGCTAAAGATAGACATTTTATACTAGCTTCTTTATTATGCTAAAGATAGAGATTTTATACTAGCTTCTTTATTATGCTAAAGATAGACATTTTATACTAGCTTCTTTATTATGCTAAAGATAGACATTTTATACTAGCTTCTTTATTATGCTAAAGCTACAGATTTTATATTTGATTATTTATTATGCTATCCAGATTTTATTCTATGTTAGTAAAGAGAATTGTTCACCTATCTTTTACTGTGTGCTCCTCATTCCTACTGTTCTGTCACTGGTGATGCAACACTGACATTTCCCCTCTGTACGACGAAATCTTATACATTCTCTTTACTCACTGCCATGGATTGTACGGCAGTAAGTGGTCCAGACGGTAATCATTGCTGTTTGTCAGGAGTGGCAGCCAGAGAAACTGCACAGGCTCTGAGGATCCTGGCCCAGGCGGCTCGGGGCGTGGCAGCCAGCACCCCGGAGCCCCAGGCCGCAGCTGCCATGCTGGACTCGGCTCAGTGCGTGATGGAGGGGTCGGCCATGCTCATCCACGAGGCCCATCAGGCTCTGGTGCATCCAGGAGACGCTGAGAGTCAACAGAGGCTAGCACAGGTACACACTCTTTGCACATGTCACGAGTTAGAATAGAACAGTGTTTTTCAACCAGTGGGCCGTGGTACATTAGTGTGCCTTGAGATGTTGTTTGGTGTGCCTTGGGAAATATTCCAATATCACATAATTGGTCAAAATAATGTGAAAAGAAAATTATGAGAGAAGATTAGAAAGACTTTTTGAGCTCATTTAATTTTCTATATATATCTACCTTGATTAGAATGACTTTGCTTTCATACTAAAAGCTGCAAAGTTTCATGTTTGTATCAGTTTCAGCCGGTGGTGTGCCATGTGAGTGTTTTCAACCAAAAAGGTGTGCCACGGCTACAAAAAGCTTGGGATACACTGGAATAGAATCCACTGAGGGGGTGTGACCAAATAAAGAAACAGTATTAAAGGAATACATGTGTTGTGGATAGCGATCAGAAGTCACACAAAAAAAGGTTAAAAGTCAGTTTAAAATTGTTGTCAAAAATACCCTTGACAGACGTGTTCAAAGTTGATGCAGAAGTAAGACGAAGATCTCCAAGTTTAACATCTGTATTTAATTTATCTTTACAATCAGATACAGAAATTCAACAAGCTCCTAAACTTATGCCTGCTCTCTGTGTCCCTCGCTGGCCCTCTGCTGACTGTGCCCCAGAACTCAAGCCAACAGTTTTATCAGGACATCCGATGACGTCATATGGTCTGAGACTGGATTCCGGTCTGGTCTCTGGTCTGGATTTTGGTCTTGGTTTTGGTCTTCCATATCAGATTTAGAAAACAATGCCCCCACCCGTGCGGCGCCTGATTGTGTTGGACTTTGCTCTCGTCAAAAGTGGGAGAGGGCATTGTTTATCCTTGGAGTCAATAATTGTCTGGTTTTGTAAGCTGGTCATCTTTATGATTCCTGTACTATCTTGTGTCCTTGGGGTTTTTTCCTGAGTGCATATTCTTTTGTCTGATGTGCAGCATTTTGTGAATATTCGTCAAAATCTAGGTCTTTTTCCCAACGTCCTGTACATAGTGCCCGCCCCCTTTTGTAGTCTAGCTAAAATGCATTCAACAAACAGGAAATTAAACGGCATGGCTTGTGCTCGGAGGCGTTTGAAGCGCCCGTACTTGGTCATTTCTCTGGTCCTCCCGGTTTTGCGCAGTGGACGGCCTCCCATGATGCTTTGCACAAAATACTATGTACAGAGGGACACAGAGTTTGTTGCACTAAAGTGTGGATTTAAAGAAAACCGATGGATTTAATAAGTAAAAAAGTTCGACAAGGGACACTGAAATCTCCACACAATCCGACCGTTACGAAAGCTGCCGGTTCTCTGTCAGTGGAAATAAGCTGTTTTAGTTTACATTTTGTTCTATGGGCAAATATTCTGGATAGCCCTCGTGAATGCAGTCTTGTTTACATGGGTCCTTCAGCTATAAGCTAGTATCCAGTAATATTATAGATCCATGGTAAACACACACACACACAATAATAGTGAACTGTCACGTTCTCACACACATAGGGGTGGGCGATATGGACAAAAATAAATATCTATATTTTTTTCCCAACTCCTGATAACAATATTGTCACGATATCTTTAAAATCAATCATTTTTACACAAAATGACCTGCAATGTTTTGCTGCCAGAGCATCTACAGAGACAGTGTATATAAATAGAAGCTTTTTATTTGTAAAGTGCTTCACACATCTTTGCAAAACATGCACAAACATATATAACCATTAAACATCAAATTAAAGTAACACAGAAAGAACACATCCAAATAGGCTAGCTCAATATTTACTGAAATGTACAAATAAAGCAGTGATTTTTAGGCACACATTAGACCAAACGGGAATCTGTCCTTCTCTAACTGTAATATGTATGTAAAAAGAAAAGAAGAAGAAGAAACTTTATTTATATAGCACCTTTCACAGATAAAATCACAAAGTGCTTCACAGGGGCACAACAAAAGTTAGAGCAATATTAAAACAAATTAATTAAAACAATCACAGCCTTTTCAACTAAAAGCTCATCCAAACAGCCATGGTCCAAAAAGGACGATAATAAAATAAAAGCATAACTTCAAATTGACTTTCACGATATTATTGTCTACGATATATTTTGCCCACCCCTACACACACACAAATATTGTTGATGTGTAGTGTTGACTGTTCTGTGTGTGTTTCCAGGTGGCCAAAGCAGTGTCCCACTCACTCAACAACTGTGTGAACTGCCTGCCGGGACAGAAGGACGTCGACATGGCTCTGCGGAGCATCGGAGAGGCCAGTAAGAAGCTGCTCGTGGACGTGGTGAGTATCGACTAAAACGCATCAGACAGAACAGGTTCGTATTCTAACGGTGGCGTCTAACGGTGGCGTCTGCGTCTGCTGTAGCTGCCGCCCTGCACAAAGACCTTCCAGGTGGCTCAGAGCGATCTCAACAGCTCTGCAGCCGAACTCAACCACTCGGCCGGGGAGGTGGTCCACTCCTCCAGAGGGACCAGCGGCCAGCTCGCCGCCGCCTCCGGAAACTTCAGTAAAGACTTCGACGAATTCCTAGATGCTGGAATTGAAATGGCGGGCCACACCCAGGTAAGGCATTGTTGTCACGTGGGTGAAAAACAAATGAGTAGTGATGTGCTGAGCGGGCCGAGTCTTCGAAGCGTGGACAGAGTAATCTGGGGGCGTTTCTTTTGAAGTGTGGGTCGAGGCGTGTATTGGTCACGTGTGTGATGACGTTCGAAGCCTCGCGAACGGCCGTACCACGTGACTGATTCAGGAAATGATTCGTTGGTTTGGAGCGCGATTCGAAATAAAAGGGACGAGTGAACGCAATGGATTCCCCTTCATCACTTTGTGTGTTTTTGGGTTATTGCGCTTCTCATTTGGCATCCTATTTTACATAACAACTGTCTCCACATCATTGGCTGTATTCTTTCAGCCCATGTTCAGACCCTACCATTTGTTATAGGCCCTTGGCATGTATTACATTTCTTTGTCCACATGATGGCGTAGTGGAGCATAATTCACCTCGAGCATTCGACTCATGGGCCGAGTAATAGGCTGCGATCCCTCAAGGCTTCATGGGGCTTCATATTGCCATCACTACAAATGAGGCCCAAAAGGCAAAAACTGCAAAATGATGGATTTAATGAAAGTAATACAAATCAAGACCTACCAAAAACACAGGGAACGGACAGAACTAAAACAGACTAGGAATGACAATGACTGAACAGGAAGTGAAGGAACACACAGGGCTAAATACAAGACTAACGAGACACAGGTGAGACACATGAGGGCGGGGCAGGTAATCAGACAACAGGAAGTACAACCAAAGAAGACACAGGAATAACACATTTCAAAATAAAACAGGAAATAAACTTAAACCATGACAATTGTACTGTTACAAAGAGAAACAGGTAGTGTCAATAGATTACTCTCTCTTCATTACTTGCACAAGGCAAGTTTATTTTGTATAGCACATTTCATACACAAGGCAACTCAAAGTTCCTCACAAAACAAGGCATTAGAATAATCAATCACGGTCCCTCAGTTGTTGCACAGCTGAACAGAACTGTTTTTAACCTGGATTTGAACACAGTCAGAAAAGAAACGTGTCTCACATTTTCAAGAATACTGTTCCAGATTGCTTGAAAGTCTATTCTCTGAGCCACAGGAAGCCAGTGCAGAGACCTGAGAACTGGACTGATATGATCTTACTTCCTGGTTCCAGTCAGGACTCCAGTCTGTGAAAACTATGAACAATGTGTGTTCTGTTTTGTCTAATCCAGAGCAAAGACGACCAGATTCAAGTGATTGGGAATCTGAAGAACATCTCTATGGCGTCCAGTAAACTTCTTCTCGCCGCCAAGTCTCTGTCTGTGGATCCAGGAGCCGCGAACGCAAAGAATCTTCTCGCCGTCGCAGCAAGGTCCGAGTAACACCTGAACATCAATGCTATCTGGGCTCGTCTAGTTATGTCTAGTCTACGTCTAAGGCGACAGTGGCTCAGTTGGTAGAACATTGGCCTTTGAGCCTGAAGGTCGTGGGTTTGAGCCCACCACGGGACCTCCTCCACCGACTCCCACTGATGTCTGCTGTGGTTGTGTCCTTAGGCAAGACACTTCCCCTACATTAGAATGAGTCTGGTGTGTGTGTGAGTGGTTGGTGGTGGTGGGAGGGGCCGATGGCACAGACTGGTTGCCTCGCTTCTGTCAGTGTGCCCCAGGGCAGCTGTGGCTACAGTAGTAGTTTATCACCACCGTGTTTGGAGTGAATGAATGATGACATGTGAAGGGTCTTTGAGTGTCCAGAAAAGCGCTGTATAAAACCAATGCATTATTATTATTACCATGTCCACCTTTCCAAGTAACCGCTGGTGTTGGTGACGGCAGGGGATGTCTCTCACATGTGATGCAGTCTGTTGTGTTGTTGTTGTTGTGTTGCAGGGCGGTGACAGAGAGCATCAATCAGCTGATCACACTGTGCACGCAGCAGGCAGCAGGGCAGAAGGAGTGTGACAATGCCCTCCGTGAGCTGGAGGTACTCATAGATGCACATTTACATACAGTTCAGTTCATGATCGCACAGCCCTAAATCACATTAGTTAGTTATCTCGGAGGACTTTCCAAACTGTCAAATTCGCCAACACAGAATGATACAACTTTTCTGCATTTTTGGTCGTGGAAATCCTTATATTGTGAAACAAATGGGTTTTTCACTTTTAATGTTATATCGTCAATGAGTCACTCTAGGGAGATCTCAATTGTGCAGTTCATGAAAGGAAAGGAAGCAAAAATGTTCAGGAAGTGGCTGTTCGACAAGAAGAATGGGCAGCTTTACCATCAGAGAGAAGAAGAAGAAGAAACTCATCCACAACTACCACAAAAGACTCATTAAGGGGAAATACTAATCAGGGTCATTTGAAAAGTTTATGTTGCCATTAAAATAAGAAAATAGTAAATATTTGACCAAAAAAATGGCTTGACTTACAATGAGTGAAGAAAGTGTAATTTCTAGAATACATATAAGCACAGCGGGAAAGTCCATGTCTATGTGTAGTTTGCATGTTCTCCCTGTGTCTACATATGTGTCCTCTGGGTGCCATAGGTTTGAATGTAAGTAAACGTAGAGTGATAAGAAAATGATCACTCCATAACATTGTTGTAGCACCCTCAGGAAATAGCATGAGCACGAGGTAGATAAAACAGGGTTTATTCTTGTATTTGGAACCCTTGCAACCCGTGAGAACTGCTCACAAAAAGAATCACATACAAAAAACGTATTAAAATACATTTGTGTGTATATGAAAATAAAAGTACACAAAAAAGAAACGAACCTCGTGAGCTGACTTCCACGAGGGGCTAATTGCTCAACTTGGCCGCAAAACACACTGCTTTCGTCTCAGTGTCTACTGAGACCGGGAAAAATGCGGCAGTCTATGGCGCTGAATTGGCTGAGTGCGCACTGAATTGGGGTCGGGTCAAACGTAATGAGCTTGTTAGTTCCGTTTCATGTTTCACCAATAGATGGCAGTATAATCATGGCAAATATTAACAAAATTAAATGAGAGCTATTAGGGACATTTACAATCGTAAAGCGCTGTGTGTGACCCCGCTCTGTGAAATGCACTATTTAAACTTACTTTTTCTTTTTGCAGGCCGTGCGTGGGCTGCTCGAGACCCCCAACGAGCCTGTCAGTGAGCTGTCCTACTTTGACTGCATCGAAAGCGTCATGGAGAACTCAAAGGTACAAACCAAACTCCCATAAAAACCTTGCTAAGTTCCCTGTGCCCTGTAAACTGTATGTGGAAGTGACTTTTTACCAATTCAAGGTGTTGGGGGAGTCCATGGCTGGGATCTCGCAGCACTGTAAGACGGGAGACGTGACGGCCTTTGGAGAGAGCATCGGGGTTGCGTCCAAAGCCTTATGTGGTCTCACTGAAGCTGCTGGACAGGTCCGTTTGCTCTCCTCGTCCTGCGTCTCTGTTTGTTTTTTGTTTTTTTTAACTTTATTACATTTTAATACAATTACAAGAATGAAAACATAAAAGAAAGAAATAAAACAAAATTATATTCGAAATCTAATATATACGGTTTACAAATACAGTAGGTGTTAAGGTGGGAGGGGTTGGGGGGGAGGGGGAGAGTAAAAAAAATAAAATAAAATTATTCGGGTTGCGTTTTTTATTGTTTCAGTTCTGCCTTGGTTTGCGGAGTTTCTGTATATGTATGTGAATGTGTATGCAATGCAGGGGTGCATAGGTGCTATGTCGAATGTGGTCAAATGAGTCTATATATTTTACTAAAAAAATAAAATAAAATAAAAATAATAATAATAAAAAAAAAGGGGTTTATATATATACACATCATCATCGCTATCACTATTATCATCGTCATTGCCACAATCATTACCCATTGCTAATTTTATCTTGCTGGGCTTTGGTGAAAAATAATAATAGTAGAATAAATGACAATAATAATAAATGCGTCTCTGTTTGTGATACCGCTTCATAGTTTTGACACATTCTTCTCCTTGCCAGGCCTCGTATCTGGTCGGAGTGTCTGATCCCAACAGCCAGTCCGGTCATGAAGGCCTGGTGGACCCCATTCAGTTCGCTCGAGCCCACCAGGCCATTCAGACGGCCTGCCAGAACCTAGTGGACCCTGCCAGCAGCCCCTCACAGGTAAACACCACAGGATTTTTAGTAGAGAGAGAAAGATTTTCAACTCTAAAGCCATGCAGAGAGATTCGCTTATGAGATATGTTGTGGCTGTTTGTTTCCACGATCCGATTTTGAACCACTATTTGAAACGTTTTGCTTATTTTCCCCCAAAACTAAGCATCTTGGTAATTCAGAAAAAGGATTATTTGTCGTCTGCTTTTTGTGCTCTGTTGGGATTTGATTTAAGATTAGATTTCTGTTTCTCCTTTTTGTCCTAAATTAGTGGCATAGTAATTCATATTCATACCGATCATTAGCCACACCTCTGCACACTAAGTTGTTATTTTAAAGAATTTAAACTTTTTACATATTGCACAAAAGGTTCTATAAAGTCATAAAAACATTTCTCACTAAAATGCATGATCACAGTTCATAATCTGGTCCTACAATTTTGCACATGAGGTTGATAAGTATATTTAAGTATATATAAGAATATTATTATTATTATTATTATTATTGTGTTACTACATTAAGCCAGACATTCGAAATGGATGTTTATGCACAATTCATAGACAAGGAAACTCAAAGTGCTGAAACAAACAAGCTAAAGACAGTCACACAAGGCATTCAAAATAATCACAGTATATTAAATAATAATTAAGATAAAATCCCTCAGTTGTATGCGCAGCTAAAAATATTGTGTTTGAAGTTGTAAATAGGCAAGGCAAGGCAAGTTTATTTATATAGCACAATTCATACACAAGGCAACTCAAAGTGCTGAACAAGATAGCATTAAAATCATAAATAATCACAGAACATTAAAACGAAAGATAAAAATATAAAATCCCTCAGTTGTAGCACAGCTAAACAGCACCGTTTTTAACTTGGCTTTAAACATTGTCAGAGAGGAGGCCTGTCTCACATCTTCAGGAAGATTGTTCCAGATTTTAGCAGCATGGATCTGAAAAGCAGCCTCCCCATGTTTAGTTCTGACTCTGGGCACTAACAGGAGTCCAGTCCCTGTGCTCCTCAGAGTCCCAGCAGGAGTCCAGTCCCTGTGCTCCTCAGAGTCCCAGCAGGAGTCCAGTCCCTGTGCTCCCCAGAGTCCCAGCAGGAGTCCAGTCCCTGTGCTCCTCAGAGTCCCAGCAGGAGTCCAGTCCCTGTGCTCCTCAGAGTCCCAGCAGGAGGCCAGTCCCTGTGCTCCTCAGAGTCCCAGCAGGAGTCCAGTCCCTGTGCTCCTCAGAGTCCACAGCAGGAGTCCAGTCCCTGTGCTCCTCAGAGTCCCAGCAGGAGGCCAGTCCCTGTGCTCCTCAGAGTCCGGGCTGGTTCATATGGGAAATAGTCGTCTAAAATGTGTTTCCTCTGTTGTTAGGTCTTATCCGCTGCTACAATCGTGGCCAAGCACACGTCTGCGCTCTGTAACGCCTGCCGTCTGGCCTCGTCCAAAACCTCCAATCCTGTGGCCAGGAGACAGTTTGTCCAATCAGCGAAGGAGGTGGCCAACACCACCGCCAACCTCGTCAAAACCATCAAGGTCAACTCCCCAACTGATCAAAACGTTGAGTGTAAACCGGTTACAAACATTTCCTACATTCACTTCTTTTATACAGTCTACGTACACTGCAAAAAAATGAGAAGAGTCAGAATGAACTCAATTCAAGCAATTCTTACCTGTGTTAAAACATTATTTTCCGATAGAAAAAAGCCATTTAGTCTTTTCTCAAGAACTAATGCTTTATTCTTCAAGTTTCAAGGGAGACATTTCTTGTATATTTTTAAAACAAGATCATTTTGCTTTGTGCCATCGGGGAATCTTTTATGGCTCAGTCAGAATGTGCTCAAATTAAAACATATTTTACCAAGTTTGAGTGATTTTTGACTTATTTTTCATCACTTTTTGCAGTGTAGATGAATGGCTTTCACAAAAAACATGGCAAATATTCTTTTTTCCAGACTTTAGATGGAGATTTCTCAGATGAAAACAGAAACCGCTGTCGGACCGCTACAGCTCCTCTTCTGCAGGCCGTGGAAAACTTGTCCACTTTTGCAAACAACCCGGATTTCGCCAGCATCCCTGCACAGATAAGCAACGAGGTCATTCTCTCATTCATTTTTGGTTACACTTATATAAAGAGAGTTTCCTGTGTCCACTCTCAACTTAAAGATGCTATACCCGATTTATTTTCCAATGAGTTCATAAAAATACTTATTACTGCAAACAAGTTGTATTATAATCTGTACTTTCATGTAAACCTTGAGCTCATTGATTCAGCTGTGCATGAACTCAGTAAAAAGTGCTGAGTAGAGACTTAGCGTGACGCCCGCTCTCCTCCAATCACAGAGCGAGGCTGCCTCCTCTAGCCTCTACAGCGCTGCTAACCACAGTAGCATGTTAGCATAAGTGGCTATAACTCCTCTGGCTGTAAATGCAGACACAGCAAAACAGCCCAAACCACACAACAGTGAGGAAGAGAAGAGGAACTAAAGCCACAACATGATCAAAGAAGAAACCAAGCCCTGAACAGAGCTAGCTTACATCGTATCCTCTGGAGAGACTGGTCTGAGGGAGAGACCTGCGGGACCGCCTCGGACTATCTACGCTGGGACTATCTACGCTGGGACTATCTACGCTCGGGCTATCTACGCTCGGACTATCTACGCTCGGACTATCTACGCTCGGACTATCTACGCTCGGACTATCTACGCTCGGACTATCTGCGCTCGGACTATCTACGCTCGGACTATCTACGCTCGGACTATCTACGCTCGGACTATCTACGCTCGGACTATCTACGCTCAGACTATCTGCGCTCGGACTATCTACGCTCGGACTATCTACGCTCGGACCATCTGCGCTCGGACCATCTACGCTCGGACTATCTACGCTCGGACTATCTACGCTCGGACTATCTACGCTCGGACTATCTACGCTCGGACTATCTACGCTCGGACCATCTACGCTCGGACTATCTACGCTCGGACTATCTACGCTTGGACTATCTACGCTCGGACTATCTACGCTCGGACTATCTGCGCTCGGACTATCTACGCTCTGACTATCTACGCTCGGACCATCTGCGCTCGGACCATCTACGCTCGGACTATCTACGCTCGGACTATCTACGCTCGGACTATCTACGCTCGGACTATCTACGCTCTGACTATCTACGCTCGGACCATCTACGCTCGGACTATCTACGCTCGGACCATCTACGCTCGGACTATCTACGCTCGGACTATCTACGCTCGGACTATCTACGCTTGGACTATCTACACTCTGACTATCTACGCTCGGACTATCTACGCTAGGACTATCTACGCTCGGACTATCTACGCTCGGACTATCTACGCTCGGACTATCTACGCTCGGACTATCTACGCTCTGACTATCTACGCTCGGACTATCTACGCTCGGACTATCTACGCTCGGACTATCTACGCTAGGACTATCTACGCTCTGACTATCTACGCTCTGACTATCTACGCTCGGACTATCTACGCTCGGACTATCTACGCTAGGACTATCTACGCTCGGACTATCTACGCTCAGACTATCTACGCTCGGACTATCTACGCTCGGACTATCTACGCTAGGACTATCTACGCTCGGACTATCTACGCTCAGACTATCTACGCTCGGACTATCTACGCTCGGACTACATTCGGACGTGAAACTAGCGGGAATCTTTCAGTTATATATTGTATTTACAGTGCGTTGCTTTTGTACCATTTCATCAGTGATTGTTGTACAGCTTAAGTTGTGCTAATGCTAATGTTAGCATACGTATCAGATCACAAATAAAACTAGATGTCTCCGTGGGATGAGAGCGTAGGGGACATGAGAAGCCTGTGAGCGAGTTGGGGGCGGGGCTAAACATTCAGACCTTGCAGAAACGGGTATAGCTCCTTTAAAGTGCAAACTATCTGTCACAGCTTGACTCGTTCCACTTCTCTAGGGGATTGACTCCTCTCCTCTTTGCACAGGGCTCTGCTGCTCAGGAGCCCATCATCAGATCTGCTCGCTGCATGTTGGATAGTTCCACGTTTCTGCTGGAGACCGCCCGGGCCCTTGTTCTCAACCCCAAAGACCCCCCCACCTGGTCCATACTGGCTGGACACTCTCGCACTGTGTCTGACTCAATCAAGAGCCTCATCACTGCCATTAGGTCTGGACTCTCCTCCCACAGCTGTTTTGATCACATGTAAATCAGTTTTAGACTAATGTGTGTGTGTGTGTGTGTGTGTGTGTGTGTGTGTGTGTGTGTGTGTGTGTGTGTGTGTGTGTGTGTAGGGACAAGGCTCCAGGACAGAGGGAGTGTGATTATTCCATCGACAGCATCAATAAGTGCATCCGAGACATTGAGCAGGCGTCACTCGCTGCAGTGGGACAGAGTTTACCCTGCAGAGAAGACATCTCCATGGAGGTAGGAGAAACTATCCTCTCTGTTTTATTTCAGTTGTATTAGTTTTTATCATAAAATAAAAAAAGTGTTTTATCATTTCCCACCTCTGCACCTTCTCCACCGACTCCCACTGATGACTGCTGTCGTTGTGTCCTTGGGCAAGACACTTAACCCCACTTTGCCCTAAGCCCCCACTGAAAGATCAAGGCTATGCTCACACTCAGAGAGCAGCCGTCCTCCTGTGGACTCACCACCTGCAGAGGGTCAGTGAGGGGCTGGTGCTATGAGACTTGGGTGGCATCTCTGACTGCCACCCCCCTGACCCAGAAATGGATTAAAGGGAAGAAAATGGATGGATGGATGGATGGATAGTTTTTATCATATTGTCAAATGTCTTTTTTATATATTTTATTTTCCATTTTCAGTTCAGAAGAATGAATGCTCCAAATAGTAAAATTAGGACTTGGATACAGTAAGGCCATCTGGGCTACTGTTCACATAATCCAGCTGTGGTTGCCATATTTTAACAAAGGTGTCGCAGCCTTTCTTGAGCTATGAGTGCAAGCTATTCATTTCAGAAAATCATTTTGCTAGAGAGAGGGGAAATCAGACTTCTATGTGAGAGGGATGCAGATTTTCCATATATTTTGCTTGATATTTACTTATAGAGGTATCACTTGTCATAAGATTGCCAAGAAGGCACACTTCAGGATGTTATAAAGTGAATACCGGGAATACACTGCAAAAAGTGATGAAGCATAAGTGAAAAATGTATCTTAATTTGAGCAATTTTTCAGTGCCTTACAAGAAAGATTTGCCAATGGGATAAAGCAAAATTATCTTGTTTGAAAAAGACAAGAAAAGTCTCCCTTGGAAATGGCTTTGTCCCTTTTGAAGAATCTTGTTTTAACACAGTCACAATGAACTCAAATTAAGACAGAATCCACTCAATTTAAGCATTTATTACCTCAGATTTCATCATGTTTTGCAGTGCATGGACCACTTTGCTGTTCCCAGTTACAGTATGTTTTGCCATTACGTCATGATCTAAAATAGTTTAACATACAGAGTGCGTGCTTCTCTCACTGGAATTCCAAAGGCCGGTGAGATCACACTGCGCTGCTCTGATTAGAGACACCTGGATGAAGTGGAGGAGTTTCTAAAGTTTATGCAGTCGCAGCATTCCTCCAACATCAAGACGCCGCAATTAATCCTCCCCTTTAGGCCCCCAGGCTCTGTCCAGTTTCAGGTGTTTAGACCCACTTTGCCTCCTTCTGTCCTCCACCAGGCTCTCCAGGAGCAGCTGACCTCCTCGGTGCAGGAGATTGGACATCTGATCGACCCAGTGGCCACAGCCGCTCGAGGAGAAGCAGCACAGCTCGGACACAAGGTGCAAGCACGACTGTCCACTGTCGCCTCACTCACTGACCTCATCTGTGCAATAATAATATGAATAATGTGCAATATTCATATTATGTGAATATTGGACATCATGTGTCCACTGTCGCCTTGCTTAGTCCCATAGCCGCATGCTGCTAACATGTGCAGATGTATACATACTGTATTTTGCTTGCAGATAGAGATTTCTTGGTTCCTTACGCTAAAGCTAGGGATTGTATACTTGCTTCTTTATTCTAGATAGATAGAGACTTTATTGATCCCAGTAGGTGAAATTCAGCGGCCAAAGACTCATCCAGGTTTGTTGTAGAGTCGGATCTCTTGAATAGTTCTGTTTGGCAGCGTAGTGATAGGAGCCTGTTGCTACGGTTACTCCTCTGAGCCGCCATAGTGTCATGCAGAGGGCGTCTGGAGTTACCCAGGATGCCCTGCATTAGAGCCCCTTCTCTCCAGCACAGCTCCCACAGAGTCCACACTTCTCCCCATCACAGAGACACATTTCCTGATCAGCCTGTTGAGCCAATTACTGGCTCTCGAGGTCAGACTGCCCCCAACGACCCCGAAGAACACGGCACTAGCTACCACAGACTGGTAACAAATGTGCAACACCTGACTGCTTATGCTAAAGTTAGTGCTCCTCATTCCTACTGTTCTGTAACTGGTGATGCAACACAGAAATTTCCCCACTGTGGGACGAAAAAAAGGATCTCTTCTTAATCTTCACTCTTCTCACTCCAGTATGATCTGATGTGTTTGTTTTGTGCCAACATTCACAGGTGACGCAGCTCGCAAGTTATTTCGAGCCCCTTATAGTCGCGTCCGTGGGTCTGGCCTCCAAACTCCAGGACCACCAGCAGCAGATGACCATCCTGGACCAGACCAAGACCTTATCAGAGTCCGCTCTACAGATGCTCTACGCGGCCAAGGAAGGAGGAGGAAACCCCAAGGTACTGGATTCTGGAATGTTCTACTGTCCTCACCATCGGCTCTCGCTGTAGTTGCCTTATTTCGTGACTTGGATGGATGTGTCCCTTGTCCCAGGCCTGTCACACCCACGATGCCATCACAGAAGCAGCTCAGCTCATGAAAGAGGCTGTGGATGACATCATGGTGACTCTGAACGAAGCGGCCAGTGAGGGGGGCATGGTGGGGGGCATGGTGGAGGCCATCGCAGAGTCTATGGGGCGGGTGAGTACAGGACTGAATTCCACTGTATCTTTTTACAGGGCGGCACGGTGGCTGAGTGGATAGCACTCTCACCTCTCAGCAAGAAGGTCCTGGGTTCAAATCTCGGTTGGACCAGGGCCTTTCTGAGTGGAGTTTGCATGTTCTCCCCGTGTCTGCGTAGGTTTCCTCCGCGTGCTCCGGTTTCCCCTACCACTAAAAATATGTACAATAGGTCTGGCATGCGCCTCCTGTACTGGCCCCGCTCCCAAAAATAACAATTGTAAACCGCTTTGAGACTCCGATGTGCAGTGAAAAGGCGGTATATAAATAAAGATTACTTACTTACTACTACTACTACTTACTTTTAGCGCTTGAATTGATTGATTGTTGTTTTCAGCTGGATGAAGGCACTCCCCCTGAAGCAGAGGGCTCGTTTGTGGATTACCAGACCACGATGGTGAAGTTCTCCAAAGCCATCGCAATCACAGCTCAGGAAATGGTGAGCTGCTTTGGTCATCACTGTCTTTCATGCCTCTTGCTTTGATAAAATGCTTTTCTTTGTCAGATGACTAAGTCGGTGACGTGTCCAGAGGAGCTGGGAGGCCTTGCTTCTCAGGTGACAGTGGACTACGGACAGTTAGCTCTGCAGAGCCGCCTCGCCGCCGCCACAGCAGAGATCGAGGAGGTGGGTGTCTGGTGTTTTCGTTTCTAAATCCCTGTGTCTAAACTACATTGACGGCGTGTGATGGTGTTCTCAGGTGGGAGTGCAGATCCGCAGCCGGGTGCAGGAGTTGGGTCACGGCTGTATTTACCTGGTGCAGAAGGCCGGCGCTCTGCAGCTCAGCCCCACAGACACGTTCTCTAAACGGGAGCTGATCGAGTGTGCTCGCTCCGTCACCGAGAAGGTCAGAGTCTTTTCTGTCCATTACTCCATGGACAAGCTTCACAAATAATGGATAGTTCATATGCAACGTCAGACAAGTGCCATGAGACAAATATTTGAAAAATATTTGAAAAAATATTTAGTAAATAGTTTAAATAGTTTTTTGAAAAGCCATATTTTGTTATATTGTGCGATACAGATACAGTTGCATCCCTTCTTTAGAAAATTTACTACCAATAACAAAAATCAATGTTTTTAAGAATGTAGCTTGAAATATAGATATCTCTTTTTGCAAATGAACTTTGAATATAAATACATGTAAAAAAAACTTCCATAGTGACAATTGAGAGGTAATTAACTACCTTATAGCCAGATGTTCCTTCATCACATATTTGCGCTTCACCCAAACAGTCAAACTAAAGGTTTCCTGCTGATGTGACGGTGTGTTGCAGGTGTCCCTGGTCCTGTCCGCTCTGCAGGCCGGGAACAGAGGCACTCAGGCCTGCATCACCGCTGCCAGCGCCGTGTCGGCCATCATGGCAGACCTGGACACCACCATCATGTTTGCATCAGCCGGGACACTGCACCCGGACAACGAGGAGACCTTCGCCGATCACAGGTTAATAACAAATCAGCTGAAGAGAGAAGTGGGTGTTATAACAAAAAATGTGGGTGTTGCTCCACAGACGAGGCCCAAACCGTGAACATCCAGCATTAGCAGCTTTGTACAGTCATACATGCAAATATATTCATCTGTGTTGTAAATACTGTCCTGTACTTGCATTATTGCTCGACAGGCATTGTTCTGACTTTGCAATGACAATAAAGAATCTAATCTAAGCTAATCTAAACCAAATAGATATAAAAGAGGACATTAAATACTGACATAACGGGAAATAAATCATGCCCCAAGGAGACATGGTTGGAGAGAGAGGAATGTAGGAAGGAGAGATAGGACCCTTCTACGTGCTCTGATTCTTTATTCCCAAATGTCAGTGTTGGATCACAATCACAGAACAGTAGGAATGAAAAGCAAACAGCACAAGATAATATAAAGTAAATAAAATCTCTAGCATAAAGTTTAGTCTAAAAAAAGTCTTCAAATCTCTAACTTTAACATCATAAAGAATAGAAGAAAGAGTTAAGTTCCCTTTAGCATGATAAGGAGCAAGTATAAAATGAAGTATATTCTACTGCGAGTAATATATAGTAGTGTGTTTACATCTGAATATCTGCGTACAAGAGACCCCCAGTAGCCCATCCCAGCTCCATAGATACCGCCATGATGTCACCCTGAGATCACACAGGTCAGAGGGATCCACCTGGAGCCAGTCCGCATGGTCTTTGCTAAAGCTAGATTTTGTGCAATTGTCAGTAATGTATCAATCATAATATTTATAGATTCAAAAGAACAAGTTATGAGGTATTTACTAATAATAATAATAATAATACAATCTTTTTTTGTAAAGCACTTTTTTTTTTAAATGTTTACAAATAATAATAATAATACATTTTATTTAAAAGCGCCTTTCAAAACACCCAAGGACACTGTACAGGCATAATAAAAACATTTAAAAACAGGATAAACAGAATAAAACAGTAGTCAGGTACAAAGCGCTGCAGTCATCATGATAATAAAACAGTCATAATACAAATTAGATACAGTAGATACAGGAAAACAAAGCAGACATTAAAATACAGCATGAGAAGTTTTTAAAGCTGACAATTCAAAGCTGTTCGATAAAAGTGGGTTTTAAGAAGTGATTTAAAAGAGGACACTGATGGAGCCTTATCTCCTCGGGCAGGTGGTTCCAAAGCCGAGGAGTAGAGCCCTGCACGGGCCTATTATCTGGGCCCGAGCCCGGCCCTGGCCCGAGGGGGTGGCGCCCCAGCCCGGCCCGGCCCGATATGGTTTCTCAATTTTCAGGCCCGAAACCCGCATCAAGCCCGCCTTTTTTTTTTTTTTTTGTAACCTCCCATAACAATGTTTTAGCGTAGTATATAGTGCCGCGCACTGATATGAACGCAGACTTAGCTAGAGGGCGGAGTTATACATGGTAGTGATGTGCTGCAATGAGTTCTGTGTGTGCGGAGTGGTGCAGAGTGAACGGCCGCATCTGTATGATACACAGATGCTGCAACACACCTGTAAGTGATGCTATGTGTCGTCAATGACAACACTACACAGAACAACAAACACTATAGCGTGATAGAACGCTATATTCAGTGGGTGCGTTCGTAAATGTATTCTGCCTCTCTAAAAATGAAGAGCCCGAGCCCGGCCCGTGTCCGAGGTCATTATGCGGTCATCGGCCCGAAGCCCGGCCCTCGGGCTGTCGGGCCGTCGGGGCCCTCGGGCCAAGGGCTCAAGTGCAGGGCTCTACCGAGGAGCCCGGACAGAGAAGGCTCGGTCCCCTTTCGTCCGGAGCCTCGACCTTGGAACAGTCGACAGGGACCTGCCCGAGGATCTAAGGCTGCGGGGGAAGGGCTCGTAGGGGGTTAACAGTTCACAAATATAGCTGGGTGCTTTAAAAGTAATCAGGAAAATCTTAAAATCAATTCTAAAACGCACAGGGAGCCAGTGGAGGGACGCTAACACAGGGGTGATGTGCTCCCTTCTGTTACTGAATGTTTGTTGACCAAGAGGTGGTTGTTCCCGTCCACAGAGAGAGTATCCTGAAGACAGCGAAAGCCCTGGTGGAGGACACCAAACTGCTGGTGGCGGGAGCAGCGTCGAGTCAGGACAAACTGGCCCAGGCCGCTCAGTCCTCCGCTAAAACCATCACACAGCTCACAGAAGTGGTCAAGCTGGGGGCCACCAGCATGGGCTCCGAGGGCCCCGAGACTCAGGTCAGGCTCAGCAGTGGGAAAGGACACAAAAAAAAGTTTCTAGCATTTTTTCAGAAGCTATGTATGCAGACGATGAATACACCCCTGTATACAGAGGCACGCACAAGTTCAGTACATTTTTATGGTTTTCCTTATAAATCTTTGGTTGTTTGAATACAAAACTTCAGTTAAATATCACAGAGAAGACAAACACTGTGGAATAAAGTTAGTATCATTTATAGTCTGCCAGAAGGATTGAACCCAGTTAGGTGTGTGCATTAATTTAAGTCAAATGAACTTAATATTTTGCATTAACAGCCTCTAACCGCTTCCTGTGTGATCCAGTCTGAGTCTGGTGGAGTTTGGTCTCAATAATTCTCAAACAATAAAACATAATTTTTCTGTGTTAATATAGTGCAGAACTTTATATGAAACTAGTCAAAAGTTGTTGATAGGCTCATTTTTGTTACATACGTATTATGGGGGTAGGATTAATTTCTTCTTCCTACTCCCTTTCAGGCAACTATTTTGGTTCATTTATTTTTTTATGCACATTAGCAATACTTTTGTTGTAAACTATGATGGACACGAGGTGACTTGAGCCTAATGGGAAATGCCTGAAATGAAGAAATAAACAAACAATCACTGTATTTGTCTCCTGTATGATGTATTTAGGAGAAATTTGGGCCAATGGGTCTGCTACATGTAAATACAGAAACTACAGACACAAAAAGACACACGTGGCACTCTGTATGCAAACAACCAATGATTTAGAAAGGAAATATAATGTCAGGGAAAGAGGCTGTATTCAGACGTTTCCACTGGACACTCTGTGGTCCGCTGATGGCTCTGCGCTCCGGTGTCGGTTCTGATGAGAGCTTTGTGTCGCAGGTGGTTCTGATTAACGCCGTGCGGGACGTGGCGAAGGCTCTGGCGGAACTCATCAGTGCCACCAAGTGCGCCGCGGGCAAATCTGCAGATGACCCGTCCATGTACCAGCTGAAGGGAGCCGCTAAGGTCAGGAACAGCAGCAATACTTTAGATCAAAAACATTTATTATTTCATTAATCCTTCAAACCATAAGATAAGATGAGATAAAATGCAGTGTCATCGTTACGCACATTACAGCAGAATAAGAGAACTAAGAGCAGTCAAAGAGGGAAAAGATGGTGACTGTGTGGTGTGAACCGAGTGTGGTGCTGTGTGTGCAGGTGATGGTGACCAACGTGACGTCTCTGCTGAAGACGGTGAAGGCGGTGGAGGATGAAGCCACCCGCGGCACCAGGGCTTTGGAGGGCACTATCGAGTACATCAGGCAGGAGCTGACGGTGAGAGCAGTTTGATTATGATTCATTATAATTCTCTAAAGCAGGTTTCATGAAAGTTCTATAAATATCCTTGGCCAGGTTTTTCAGTCCAGGGAGATGCCCGAGCAGCCTGCCTCCCCAGATGAATTCATCCGAAGGATAAAGGGCATCACAGTCGCAACGACCAAGGCTGTTGCCGCCGGCAACTCGACCCAACAGGAAGACGTCATCGCCACCGCCAACCTGAGCCGAAAAGCCATCTCCGACATGCTGATCACCTGCAAGGTCCGCACGCAGTATTCAGCAGTATACACCAGTATATACTTGTATACACCTGTGTACACCAGTATACACCAGTATGCACCAGTATGCACCAGTATACACCTTTTTGCAGCAGTATACACCTGTATGCAGCAGTATACACCTGTATGCAGCAGTAAACAACAGTATACACCAGTATGCACCAGTATGCAGCAGTAAACAGCAGTATACACCAGTATGCACCAGTATGCAGGAGTAAACAACAGTATACACCAGTATGCACCAGTATGCAGGAGTAAACAGCAGTATACACCAGTATGCACCTGTATGCAGCAGTAAACAGCAGTATACACCAGTATTCAGCAGTATACACCTGTATACACCTGTATGCAGCAGTATACACCAGTATACACCAGCATTCAGCAGTATACACCAGTATACACCTGTATGCAGCAGTATACACCAGTATGCAGCAGTATACACCAGTATACACCTGTATACACCAGTATACTCCAGTATACACCAGTATGCAGCAGTAAACAGCAGTATACAACAGTATACAACAGTATACACCAGTATACACCAGTATACACCTGTATGTGTTGTGTTGGTGCAGGGAGCAGCACATCATCCTGAAGTGACTGAAGAGGTTCGAGCCAAAGCTCTGCAGCACGGCTCCGACTGCACCAGAGCCTACATCACTCTGTTAGAGCAGGTCCTGCAGGTGAGTCCAGAGTCTACAGAGTCTTCCACAGAGTCCGAGTCCTTCATAGGGCTCTGTAGGATCCGGGTCTGAGTCGTGCTCCTGTTGCAGGTTCTGCAGAGGCCCAGTCCAGAGCAGAAGCAGCAGTTGGTTCTGTTCTCGGAGCAAATCGCAGCTGATGTGACGGAGCTGCTGCAGGCGGCGGAGAACATGAGAGGTGAGTTCACACCTTCATCATCATCATCATCATCATCATCCTCCACCTTCATCCTCATCATCATCCTCATCATCCACCTTCATCATCATCATCATCCTCATCCACCTTCATCATCATCATCCTCCACCTTCATCCTCATCATCATCATCCTCCACCTTCATCATCATCCACCTTCATCATCATCATCATCATCCTCCACCTTCATCATCATCATCAGCCACCTTCATCATCCTCCACCTTCATCATCATCCTCCACCTTCATCATCATCATCATCATCCACCTTCATTGTCATCATCATCATCCACCTTCATCGTCATCATCATCATCCACCTTCATCATCCTCCACCTTCATCATCATCATCCTCCACCTTCATCATCATCATCCACCTTCATCATCATCATCATCATCCACCTTCATCATCATCATCATCATCATCATCCTCCACCTTCATCATCATCATCATCCTCCACCTTCATCATCATCATCATCCTCCACCTTCATCATCATCATCATCCTCCACCTTCATCATCATCATCATCCACCTTCATCATCATCATCATCCTCCACCTTCATCATCATCATCATCATCATCCATCTTCATCATCATCCTCCACCTTCATCATTATCATCATCATCCACCTTCATCATCATCATCAACATCCTCCACCTTCACCTCACCACAGTTTATTATTATTATTATTATTATTATTATTGTTAGTGCCTTGATAGACTTTACATACAGTGCACAGTATGTTATCACTAACTTTATTCAGTGTAAGTTTCTATACATTTCCTGGTACGATCTCTGACAGAATCCCTCCCTCTTTAGGATCCGAGTGTGTGGACGCAGAGGAGACCACAGCCGTCGCCGAGACGGAGCTGATGGGAGCCGCCGCATCCATCGAAGCCGCCGCCAAGAAACTGGAGCAGCTGAAACCCAGAGAGAAGCCCAAGGTAGAGGACAAACACAGCCTCGATCGACCTGAACCGATCATTCAGGAGGCCACGTCTTAATCTCTGCAAGTTCATACACTGAGCAAGAAACCAGTGTGTGCTTTTTACCATATTTTTTGTCTTGAAAATTGGCTTAAAATACCCAAAGTGTTTGTTCTGTGTACAAATGTAAGAACTTTCATCAAGCTGTGATACCCAGCTTTTTCCCCCAGAAATCAACCAAAACTTGCTGTCTTTTATGCTGTCATATAAGAAAACATATATTTTATTATACTTGTGAAATTCCCATGTGAGTCGTAATTTGTTGCTTTGGGCTGAGAGCTGATTTTTCGATTCTCTTACATACGGTTGATCCCATGATGTGGTTTGAAAGTTAGGTACCCCAGCTTTAGCGCAAATGAATAGCAGTAGACCACACTCACAAGTTAGTGAGTAACAATATTTTTGATTGGCATCTTTGCAGGTAAAATCACTAGTGTTTCTTGTTCATTTTTGGTCCCACTGATTTATTTTATTTATTTTATTTATTTGATTTTTTTTTTTTTTCATTATTTAATTTTTATTATAATTCCACTTTTAACCCATCTCAGGGCCCAATTACATTTGAATGACAAGAACATTTGTGGGAAATTATCATATGTGTTAGTAATATACAATCCTGACTTTTTTCTATTTTTTGAGAGAGACCTTCACAGGCAATGCATTCTGGGTTGTTGCAGATTAGCATTAGCACAACGCTCTGCTATAGGGCTGTGTTCATGTCTATATAGAACTAAAAGGGAGGTCTTTTTGTGTAGCGCCGCATGCTCCCCTGTGTGTATGTACAGCACTGTTTGTATTGTGACTAAGTGATTGCATTTTTCTGTTGGATTTTTCTGGTTTAAAAAAAGAGAAAAATGTCAAATCTCAACCTCCGCTGTCGACGTAAATGTGCACATGATCTGGAACTGTTTTCTCCACACCGTCTGCCCTTTCTTGTCTTTTTGCTCTCCTTGTCTCTCCTGAGGAATACTAGGGTCTGTCTCTCCCCCATATGCATGCCCCCCACGGCCTCGTCTCTCCCTTTTCCAAACCGTTGTAGACATGGATGCCTTCTCTGCAGGGCTCTGTCTGATATGTTTGATATATTAGGTTGTTTTTCAGTCCAACTATATATCAAACATATTCTTACAGTGTCCCGCCTTGTCTCCAGCCTCGTGTTCCTCTGTATGTGCATGTTTTGGGTGGAGGAGGGACCATGGGGATCATAGAGTGGTCACATGGTACTGGTCCGGCAGTGGGCTTGGTCTGGTCCTCTTTCTCTTACTGAGTTCTCTATCATTTTGGGTCAAGTCCTAGTTTTACTGAATGTGCAAGCGTGAATAGAGCAGTGGTTCTCAACTGGTGTTTCTTATACTATGAAAAATAATAACAATACAGCAAGAAGTCTAATTTTCTTGAAAAAAATCCATTGAGAAAGGGGCAGGATGCAACTTTTTATGTGGAAAAAAAGTTTATATTTTTGTTGTGACCCAGCAGCTGTAAGAGTGGTCACCGCCTTTACTTTCTCTAGGATGCTATAGGATCAACTGTTTCTGCCCAGTCACACAGCCGCAAGGGTCACTACATTAAAATTTGCATAATATTTCAAAATCTGTTCATTCTGCAAGTTTCTATCTTACAAAAACACCTAAAAACACTAAACAATAGATAGAAAACTTCATTTACACACCCCATTGGGCAGATGTATTCAAATATGCTGCTTAACTCATTGACTGCTGCCGTTTTTGATGATTTCACTGATTCTCAAGAACCCACAGAGTATTAGTTCCTAAGACTATGTGAAATATGAAACCAGATTCTGAAAGACTGGATTGTCTACTTTCATCAGTAAGAATAATTTTGTTTCTAGCTGTTTTTGTTGTCCTGTAAACTGTGAGATTTCATAACACTTTTAAGCAACTTTTGTTAAAGTTAAACTCATCATTCTATCAATGTGCAGAAGCCTGTACTTTTCCACTTCATGTTTTGACTATCTCTACTGGCACCGTGGAAGCTGCTGATTGGAGGTCTCCATGCCTCCGCTCTGTATAATACACTTGCATTCTGTGTTCGTGTTGTTTGTGCTGTCTCTACCATTGACAATAAAACATGTCTTCTGTCTGAATTAAAGACGCGATCCCAGGCTCTCAGACAAATACGTCAATGGCAGACAAAGAGTTAATAAAAAGAGAAATTTCTGTATTTGAGTGTTTTAAATCTATGTCCCTGATTCCACCGTTGGTTTGAGTTATTAATTCATTCATTTCAGTTTTATTCAATGCTTATAAAACAATAGTTGGAAAAAATATACAGTCTTTTACATATTTATTATACTAATGTTGATGGTGGAGAAGCACTGGGACGGAGCACACTGTGTAATGTGTGGAGAACACATGGATTGCTTCGGTTTTTGTGTTTTAATATTTTAATCAGCAAATGTTTTTATGGGAAACACAAACTTCAGTCCAAGTTGAGGTCATTTGAAGAGGAGATTAATTGGTGTTTGTTTTGTGTTCCTGGTTCCTGTCGCAGGCAGACGAGACTCTGAACTTTGAAGAACAGATTCTAGAAGCAGCAAAGTCCATCGCCGCCGCCACCAGCGCTTTGGTCAAATCTGCATCTGCCGCTCAGAGGGAACTGGTGATGCAAGGCCAGGTGTGTGTCTGCACGCACACACACACACACGCACGCACGCACGCACGCACACGCACACGCACACGCACACGCACGCACACGCACACATACACGTTTTTGTTACCTGGTGGGTCCCTTTGACAGGGCCGTTCAGAATGGGACCCATAGACATAATCTTTTTTTACTGGGACTACTTTAAGTAATACAAAACAGTCAATAGAAAACAAACAACTATTTTAAAGGAATTTTATTTTAGATTTTTTTTTTGAATTGCAGTGATTCTATTTTTGACATAGAATTTAATGCCACTCCATGTCCGATGTCTAAGGTCATCTGGTGAGGCATTAATGCAGGCCAGGCAGTGAGACTTCCCAGGGACCTTTCCAGTCTGTATGAAAGGTGTCATGGTCTTCTCCACAGCCTTCACCTCAGATGCAGACCATGGCTTTCTTACACGTTCTAGGAAGAGAAATAAAAATATATTAGCAATATACACTCCCAGGGTTAGGACCAAGCAGCCTGGCTGTAATCCGCCACCTGGTACACTTACCAGAAGGGGCACTGCCACTACCATGGGGTGCATCTGGATGAATGGTTGAAGGTTCTCCGCTTGAAGTTTCTTTTAGCCCGTCCGTTTGTGAGAGGATCTCTACTGCTCTCCCTGTCGCACAGAAAATAAAAATACAAGTGGCCTTTAGGGGAAAAAAATTATACATATTTTAATAATATCAAGAATTACCTTCAGGCTCAATTTGTATCTGGTCGAGGCTCTTTCCTTCGAATTCCGTCACTCTTCCCTGCTCCATGGCCATCAACACTTTGCTGATTTTGGCCAGCTCCAGTGTCCCCTCTGGTAGTCTGTAATATTGCCTGTGGATGCGAATGTCATGGCCGAGGAAGTTGGCAAGTATGTCCATCTCATTCTCTTTCATATTGAGAACTGTAGACATAGTAGCTATGTGCTTTCTAAGTTTGGTTGAGGATAGCATCTCTGGATGCACCGCACCACATTCTTTGGCTACCTGGCGTAGGGAGTCTGATCCCCTGATGTGGGTGTCTGCGCCCGGGCGGGAAAAGAAGTATGGGTTATGGTCAGAGATGGAACAGGCCCTTCTGTTCTCCACCAGCACCTCCATCGAAGCAATCATTTCAGGAGTCAAAAGAACCGGCACTTTCCGACTTCTTTTCCCTTTAATTTCAATGCGTTGAAAATGCTGACACAGCTTTTTCTCAAGTTGGGACAGTCCCAGAGCAATGTCAGAATGGATCCCAGTCTTACTTCTTAAGGTAAAGGCTGTCAGTGGCATCTTTGAAACCTCACCTTCCCTTCTTCGATTGAAAATAATGACCTCACAAAGAGTCAAAACTGCCAGTTTAGACCAATGCTTAGACGTTGGCTCACTTATTAGGGTTTGCACATATTCAGGTCGACATACCTCAATATGTGCATGCATGGCTCTAACGTCCTCAGTCAGAGGGAGCAGGTCCGGAGTGTTCCACTTGGCTTGCCGGAGGGTCTGTAGGGCAGCAGAAGAAACACAGACGTCCCACCTCTTCTCAAAAAGCAGCCGGCTTCGTTGGAGGTTTTTAATAAATAGTTCATCAACACAATGCTCCATTTTTGAGTCACATTCAAGAATATCTGCTAGCTTTCTGAGGCTATGGCCGAGTTTGAGGGCCAAGGATGGAGTCTTGTATTGATTTGTTTCCTCATCATATCCAGCCACAGACCTGACTGCATCAATCACATGGTTAAAGTTGGAAGGAATAAAGAAATCCTTCATTGTTTTCAGTTTCCCTGCAGTTTTTGCTTCGTTAATTAACCTACCGACTTCTCTCATTTTCTGCCTAATGTAATCATGCTTAGTCTTATCATGCCCGTGTTTTAAGTACAGGTGCTCTCCGAGTCTCAGAATCCCCTTTTCTGCTTTGACAACACCCGTGACCTCATCCTGATGCATTGCCCAAATTAAAGACCACAGCTTTTTGCTGATGCCCTCCGGTACAGGCTGGGCTAGGGAGCAGAGGGACTGGACCCTACTTCTACCTGGTTTAGCCTGGGCATCTTTCTGTGAAAGCCGGCACCTGGCCACATGCCTCCACAGCGACTTTCGCTTAAGCAATGCCCCACAGTCTATACAGTGCAAAAACTCACTGGATTTAACTGGGCAATTTGGCTGTTTAGCTGGGACTAAAGTTCCAATGCCGGCCTTTAAAACCTCAAAATTGTGCTCACGGTTTCCACTATTCCTGATCAAATCAAACTGAAGTTTACGTGCTTTAGATTTTCACAGGTAGAGCCAATGCTCTGGCTACGTCACTTTCATTTCCATGTTTTCTAGTCAAATGACGGGACATTTTGTGGCAGGACATTGAACAGTAGAGGCAGAAGTGTCTCTTGCTATAAACTCGCCCCCCATTTTTCTTCTTTTGCAGCTGCATGATAACAATCTTATTTGCCTTTGGTTCGTCACTTTCCGAGTCTTGAAGAAAAGTGTTTTTGATTTTTCTTTTTCCATACTTTTTTACAGGTTTCTTCTTGACAGTTAAATCGTCAGAATCTGAGTCGACTTCATCAATTAGGGACTCTTGACTAAGCTGCACAAACAACAAATAATTTGTAATCATTCTATATAACAATTTGAAGTCATGACTTGTAGTCAGCACTTACCAGTGGTTTGTAAGCGTGCGCTTCAGTGTGCTCCTCCATGATTTCTTGCAGCCTAATGAACCACACACTTGCACCTTTTTCTAGCCTGACACCTGATTTCCTCTGTTGTGCTGCTCCATGATTGGCTCCAGCCTGCTGGACTGAAATTGCCCCAGTGTGCCCCTCCTTGATATCCCGCAACCCACCACCAGGGTTCCGACACATAACACACTTTTTTCAGGAAAGTAAACCTCCAGGGGTCCTTTCCATATTTTTACAGAGACTGCATAAGGACCGTTAGAAAAGCATTACCCATTGATTATTAAGCTTGGACCAGTGGGGTCCGGTGTTCGGGCCCCACCACGTAAAACCAGTCCCCATGACGTGAGTGGAATCTCAGGTTATGGAACCCACCAGGAGTTGAAAACAAGTGCACACACACACACACACACACACATACAGTCACACAGACACACACATTCATGCGTACACACATTGGTGCACACATACACACTCTAATCACTGCATGTTTTAGGACCATTTAAAGTGATGTATTTGCCGCAGGTGGGGTCCAACCAAGCGAATGCGGTGGAGGACGGCCAGTGGTCTCAGGGGCTGGTCTCTGCTGTAAGACTCACTCTTCTCTATATTTAGTCATCGCTCGTCTGCTTTCTGCCTGATAAACATGTTTTATGCTCAGGCACGAATGGTTGCAGCTGCGACCAGTAACCTGTGCGAATCCGCGAACGCCTCGGTCCAGGGCCACGCCAGCGAGGAGAAGCTGATCTGCTCGGCCAAACAGGTGGCGGCCTCCACGGCTCAGCTCCTGGTGGCGTGTAAGGTGAAGGCCGACCAGGAGTCTGAGGCTGTCAAGAGACTGCAGGTAAAAATAATCATAATAATAATAATAATAACAACGCATTGGTTTTTGTACAGCACTTTTCTGGACATTCAAAGCGTGTGTGTCTGTGTCTGTCTGTGTGTCTGTGTGTGTGTGTCTGTGTGTGTGTGTGTGTGTGTGTGTGTGTGTGTGTGTGTGTCTGTGTCTGTGTCTGTGTCTGTGTCTGTGTCTGTGTTTGTGTCTGTGTTTGTGTCTGTGTTTGTGTCTGTGTTTGTTTGTGTCTGTGTTTGTGTCTGTGTTTTGTTTGTGTCTGTGTCTGTGTCTGTGTCTGTGTTTGTGTCTGTGTCTGTGTTTGTGTCTGTGTCTTGTTTGTGTCTGTGTTTGTGTTTGTGTCTGTGTCTGTGTCTGTGTTTGTTTGTGTCTGTGTTTGTTTGTGTCTGTGTCTGTGTTTGTGTCTGTGTCTGTGTTTGTGTTGTGTCTGTGTCTGTGTTTGTGTGTGTGTCTGTGTCTGTGTTTGTGTCTGTGTCTGTGTCTGTGTTTGTGTCTGTGTTTGTGTCTGTGTTTGTGTCTGTGTTTGTTTGTGTCTGTGTTTGTGTCTGTGTTTGTTTGTGTCTGTGTTTGTGTCTGTGTTTGTGTTTGTGTCTGTGTTTGTTTGTGTCTGTGTCTGTGTTTGTGTTTGTGTCTGTGTCTGTGTCTGTGTTTGTTTGTGTCTGTGTCTGTGTTTGTGTCTGTGTCTGTGTCTGTGTTTGTGTCTGTGTCTGTGTCTGTGTCTGTGTCTGTGTCTGTGTTTGTGTTTGTGTCTGTGTCTGTGTCTGTGTCTGTGTCTGTGTTTGTGTCTGTATCTGTGTTTGTGTCTGTGTTTGTGTCTGTGTTTTGTTTGTGTCTGTGTTTGTGTTTGTGTCTGTGTCTGTGTTTGTTTGTGTCTGTGTTTGTTTGTGTCTGTGTCTGTGTTTGTGTCTGTGTCTGTGTCTTGTTTGTGTCTGTGTTTGTGTCTGTGTCTGTGTTTGTTTGTGTCTGTGTCTGTGTTTGTGTTTGTGTCTGTGTCTGTGTCTGTGTTTGTTTGTGTCTGTGTTTGTTTGTGTCTGTGTCTGTGTTTGTGTCTGTGTCTGTGTTTTGTTTGTGTCTGTGTTTGTGTTTGTGTCTGTGTTTGTTTGTGTCTGTGTCTGTGTTTGTGTCTGTGTTTGTGTCTGTGTTTGTTTGTGTCTGTGTTTGTGTTTGTGTCTGTGTCTGTGTCTGTGTTTGTTTGTGTCTGTGTCTGTGTTTGTGTCTGTGTCTGTGTCTGTGTCTGTGTTTGTTTGTGTCTGTGTCTGTGTTTGTGTCTGTGTTTGTGTCTGTGTCTGTGTCTGTGTCTGTGTCTGTGTTTGTTTGTGTCTGTGTGTGTGTGTGTCTGTGTTTGTGTCTGTGTCTGTGTCTGTGTTTGTGTCTGTGTCTGTGTCTGTGTCTGTGTTTGTTTGTGTCTGTGTCTGTGTTTGTGTCTGTGTTTGTGTCTGTGTCTGTGTTTGTGTCTGTGTCTGTGTCTGTGTCTGTGTTTGTGTCTGTGTCTGTGTTTGTGTCTGTGTCTGTGTCTGTGTTTGTGTCTGTGTTTGTGTTTGTGTCTGTGTGTGTCTGTGTCTGTGTCTGTGTCTGTGTTTGTGTAGGCGGCGGGAAATGCGGTGAAAAGAGCTTCTGACAACCTGGTGAAGGCGGCACAGAAAGCGGCGTTTGACAAAAGTGAAGATGCCAGTGTCGTGGTCAAGACCAAATTTGTCGGAGGCATCGCTCAAGTGAGATTCACACTAATTATATTAAATTATTATTATTATTATTTTATTTTGTATTATATTATCATTATATGTTATCATAATATTATTGTATGATGTTCCATTATATTATTATTATATGATACTGAACCAACATGGCTTTAAAGGGAAAGTATGGAATCATTCTCTTTGTGGTTTAAGCAATTACAGTTCAATTCAATGAGATTTTGTACAGTAGTTAAAGTTGTCGATTTGCCAACACACATCAGAGAATCAAAAAGTTCAACCACAGAAAAGGCAATGGTAAAAAAGGTCATTGGTCCATAAGTGGCAGAGACCAATCTCCATAAATGTTGATAAAGTCCGTCACACTTTTGTTGCCAGAATCTTCCTGTCCGTGAAAGTAAGTGAGTCATCAAAAAAATAGTGATTTATTTTAACGCACTTTAAAGACCTTATGACGGGTTTGATTTATTTAGAAATACAGTTTTAATACCATTTTATATTAGAAGAGAACTACTAAAGGTTTCAAAATCAGTTGTTGTTTTTTTTGTCTGATGCCCCCAAATCGAAATAACCCCATAGCAACGCCCTTAGAAACGAAAAAGCTTCACAGCCCTTGGTGACGTCAGAGCGGGTACGTTTCAACGCTGTAAGTTGTTTACAATTTGGTATTTGTTCTTTTTTCGCGGATATTCAAGATGACAAGGCCGTGTACAGCGAGTCTGACATAAATACTAGATAATAAGTCTTCGTTGTCACTGAGATAGTCCAGTGGTCGTGTCGATGGACTGTCAATCCAGATACTTGGGTTCAAATCCCACCTCGGACACTTTTTCACTCTCAACACGGCAATTTATGTGTAGTGAGCAATTGTCACCTGTAGAGGGCAGTATTGTGTTGGGCATCAGTGGAGAGAAGAGAGAAAAGGCAGTCCTGTGGCATAGATCCATGGTTTTCAATGCATGGGCGTTACCTGCTGTGACGTCACACACAGGTTAGAGCATAGACAGCTTAAATTCATGAAAAACACGTTCTTTTTATAAAATATAGGATTTTTTTTGCCGGAATCTCTTTCAAATTGACATTGTCATGCAATTTTGATATCCACTATTTTTTTTAAAAAAACCCGTCATAAGGTCTTTAAATCTGCGAACACATCCCACAGTGCTACAACAACACGTTAAAAACCCGCTCCTTCGTTTGCCGCCGATTCGAGTATTCCTTTCAGCTAGCTAACATTTCCTCACATTTCCTCAGATCATTGCGGCGCAGGAGGAGATGCTGAGGAAAGAGCGAGAGCTGGAGGACGCTCGAAAGAAGCTGGCCCAGATCCGGCAGCAGCAGTACAAGTTCCTGCCCAGTGAACTCCGCGAGGACCAGGGCTGAAGACCGACTCGGACCAAAGCCCGGGGAAACCTCTCACAGACTTCACACCGAGACGGCAGCAGGTTTGAACACGGAACCGCTGAGAAACCAACGCTGAGACCTGGATCTGAACTGAGGAGAGAGACCGCTGTAGACAACGGACTGAAGACGTGGAATGAGACCTGAATGTTTAGAAGCAAATAGTCACTAATGAAGGATTAAGGCTTGCATGTATCATAATATCTATACATATCAAAGCAGCTACTAACCAATTAAGAAGTGCTTTTAAATAAACGGTGGGCCATAAGAGTGTATAGGATATTATCTATGAAATGAGTGTCACTTTTTTTTTTTTTTTACAACAATGGCTAATAATGCTGTAAACACACGGAACACATATCCGAACACGTTACTTATTGTGTTATTATGGTCGTGGATAACAGCGTAACCACCGCCCTGGTAGCCTGGTCTTAGCATACCATTGTATTCATTTCTTAGGTCTGGTTTTGCTCCATTGACTCCGTTAACAGTGGGCGACAGTAGCTCAGTTGGTAGAGCATTGGCCTTAAGGCCAGAAGGTCGTGGGTTCAATTCCCACCTCTGCACCTTCTCCACCGACTCCCACTGATGACTGCTGTCGTTGTGTCCTTGGGCAAGACACTTAACCCCACTTTGCCCAAAGCCCCCACTGAAAGATCAAGGCTATGCTCACAGTCAGAGAGCAGCCGTCCTCCTGTGGACTCACCACCTGCAGAGGGTCAGTGAGGGGCTGGTGCTATGAGACTTGGGTGGCATCTCTGATTGCCACCCCCCTGACCCAGAAATGGATTAAGGGGTAGAAAATGGATGGATGGATGGATGGATGACTCCGTTAACAGGTGGAAGGCGTATAAACTCCTTTTGCAGATTGAAACGATGGATTAGAGTTTACCGTGACGCCAAACTACGGCCAGCAAATTCGGCGCCAACTCTTGGCGTCACCGACACCTCCCTACGACACCCGCCTTCCCCGCTCACTGATTGGTCGGATGGGAATGGATTCAACCTATGTAACTGCAGCCACTAGGATCAGACCCAGATTTAGGAAATGATAACTGACCGGAGTTTACAGACGGCAAAGGCCAGGCTACCGCGGTAAAGCTCTTAAGAGGATTTCAAGTTTCAAGTCGATAATCCTCAATTAATTTGCAAGACAATAGTCAAACACCACTGTAGTATAGTTGTGTACTATCAGTTATAAAGGCACTGATATCTAAATGTGAATTTGATGGTGCAATATTTTTCTGTTTGTGTCTAGTTTGAATAAGCTTAAGCTCAAACTGTGTGTATTTACGATGGAGGCTCGTGTTCGCTAATGTATGTAAACGTAATTGTCTCGGTGGGCGGGTTTTTGACTCTATATTGAGTTTAAGCAATACCATCGCCATGGAGACAGCCAATGGCAAAACCTCCCACCGGTGAAATTACACAGCGCCCACATTCTCCAAGTTTGTATGGAATATAAATAAGGACTGTACTTCCATACACGGCCTGTATATGAGTTGTGATGTCGTTTGGTAGCCATATTAGTTTTAGTGTGTGTGTGTGTGTGTGTGTGTGAGGAGAAAGCTTCCACTATGAGCATTGTAACGCCCTTTATGAAGCAGAAGTTAATGTACCAAGTTTAGTGTTTGCAGAACGAATTTGAGCAAAAAAGGCTCCGTCTACTTGTGCCTTACCTGAGTCTGCACTGAGACCCTGCAGTGGACGGGGCAAGGGCAAACTGCAAACAACAAATCAAACTAAAAATAAAAATGTACAGAGACGTTTAAGGGGGAAGGGATGTGTAGAGCGAGATCCGTCTCACTTTACTTTCTTTCTTTGACTTTGTGTTATATGTGAAGATGTTAGGAGTGACTTAAATACTGTCTGAGTTGAGGACAAACAAAGGATCTTACAATGTCAGATGTTTTTAAACACTTTGCCTCCCAGGACTATGAAACTACTGGAACTCCCAGAGCCGTCGTTTTGACTGCTTCAATGGAATTCTGAGAAATTCCCCAAAAAATGTTTAGTTGTCCCACTGTGGGACTAGGAAATGACAGATTTATGAAAAGTCAGTCATTTAGAAGGTTTTTCTACTGCTAAAAAGTGCTTTAAAAAAGGTGATAATAACTTGAAATACAGCTAAAACAGTTTGAGAGGCTAAATGCTAACTGCTGCAAGTAAACAGTGTGTTGCTATGGTAACTAGACTTCTTCTTCTCTGGTGGGAAACCAAGCCGACACAGCTCCGAACCAGAAACTGTCCAGGACCAGCGCCTTAGAGAAATGGGCTTCAAAATGACTGCTCTGGGATTTAAAACTTCTCCCAGTCAAAAAGTGAAAGAGAGTTTATTTCTTAGTCATCATTTTTATTAAAAGTATAGATAAAGAAAAAGTCACAGTCACAGTTATGAAGACCAAAAACGTACACATGGTGAGTAATTACACTTCCAAAAAGAAAAGCCGTCAAATTGACTGCTCTGGGAGTTCTGGAGCTGGGAAGTGGCTTGAATAACCCTCTTCCTCCATGGAAGTGGTCCTGTACGGTTGGAGACATGTGTTTGACTTGTTCACTGATGTGACAGATTTCCTCCAAATGTATTTTCTTATCTAAAAACAAATGTGAAACTCACAGAAAGATTCCTAAATTATTTAAAGAATTGAAATCATCCCATAAAACAAACATAGTTCAATATATTGCATTAAATTCTGGATATTCCATGTTGCATTTGTTAATTAGGAACAGGCAAAGACTCGATGCTTAGGAGACGAGGTCCACTTCATGTTTGCCTCTGGATGTTTGTCGTGCTGCCTTTGGGATGTTGTGATTCGCTCATTTAGGGCTTTTTTAAATGATTATCCTTTGAGCATGTGAAGGTTTGTATAAGATCCTCAGAATAACCACTTCCTTCCGACGTGTAAATGTGCCACGATCACAGTAGTCCCTGCAGTAGACGCTCTCTCTGTGTTGTACCTTTTCCCACTTGATGATGTACTGTATGTATGATATTTATCTGGTGACAAATGTATTTTTTTGTATAAACTTCAAAATAAAAAAATAGAAAAAAATGAATAAAAGCATTATAAATGACAATAATAATGACTATTTCAATGCACCAGAGTTAAACGGACTAAAGCAATCATCTGGACCAGAAAACAATGAGACCTGTATTTAACCAGGAAGGTCCCCAGAGAGAGGCTTGGTGAAAAAACTGATCCAAAATGCAGTATCGCTAAAATGATATGATTTATTGATGGAATAGATTAAAGTCCGAGGTAAACACAAACTAAAAAAATCTGAATGGAACACAGGAAGCAGGAAAACAGACGGACATAGACACTGACAAATGGCCGGCCTATGCGTGGAACAGGTAAATAAAGTATCAAAACCACAAAAATCCACACTCTGACAAAGATATGGTACACATTTTTAGTGGTAGAGGAAACCGGAGCACCTGGAGGAAACCCACACACACACAGCCCAGTCTGTAGAATCAGACCCAGGACCTTCTTATTTATAGTTTTATATGAATGGGACAGTGCATGTGAATGAACAGACACATGAGAAATAGGGACTTCTTGATGAAAAATGAGAGTGCTAACCACTCAGCCACCGTGCCGCCTTTTGTAATCCTTTCTGCTAATGTACATTAATGTATAAATCCATCCACACAAACAGATAAATACATCATTCTAAAAGCTGCAGCGACAGTCACAGCAGCAAAGGTTATTGAAGTGACTTGTAGTACCAGATTTTAACCACCAGGTGTCAGTGTAGCTTTGTGATGTTCAGTCAGTGGCTCTATCCATGTTCCCAGAAAGCACTGCTCTAATGGAAACTCTCTGTCTGACTAGATCTGTGGTCTGCCTCCAAATAAGGACATAGTGGACGTGCCTTTTCCCTCCTGGTGTTTCTCGTGTTTCAGAGGCTACTTTGACTTTTTGCACTTTCACAAATCAACAAACAGGTCACACAAACACAAACTGAATTTAAAATGGTTTAACTGGTGTAAATGTAAAACCTACGGGGAAAATCACACCTCCTGTCAGTCTGTGTCGGTCTGTGTCAGTCTGTGTGTGTCAGTCTGTGTCGGTCTGTGTCGGTCTGTGTGTGTCAGTCTGTGTCAGTCTGTGTGTGTCAGTCTGTGTCAGTCTGTGTGTGTCAGTCTGTGTCGGTCTGTGTCGGTCTGTGTGTGTCAGTCTGTGTGTGTCAGTCTGTGTCGGTCTGTGTGTGTCGGTCTGTGTCGGTCTGAGTGTGTCAGTCTGTGTGTGTCGGTCTGTGTGTGTCGGTCTGTGTCGGTCTGTGTTGGTCTGTGTCGGTCTGTGTGTGTCGGTCTGTGTCAGTCTGTGTGTGTCAGTCTGTGTGTGTCAGTCTGTGTCGGTCTGTGTCTGTCTGTGTGTGTCGGTCTGTGTGTGTCGGTCTGTGTGTGTCAGTCTGTGTCGGTCTGTGTCTGTCTGTGTGTGTCGGTCTGTGTGTGTCAGTCTGTGTGTGTCAGTCTGTGTCGGTCTGTGTCGGTCTGTGTCAGTCTGTGTGTGTCGGTCTGTGTCAGTCTGAGTCGGTCTGTGTCAGTCTGTGTGTGTCGGTCTGTGTGTGTCGGTCTGTGTGTGTCAGTCTGTGTCGGTCTGTGTCGGTCTGTGTGTGTCAGTCTGTGTGTGTCGGTCTGTGTGTGTCAGTCTGTGTGTGTCGGTCTGTGTGTGTCAGTCTGTGTCAGTCTGTGTCAGTCTGTGTGTGTCGGTCTGTGTCAGTCTGTGTCGGTCTGTGTGTGTCAGTCTGTGTGTGTCAGTCTGTGTCGGTCTGTGTCAGTCTGTGTCGGTCTGTGTCAGTCTGTGTCAGTCTGTGTGTGTCAGTCTGTGTCAGTCTGTGTCGGTCTGTGTGTGTCAGTCTGTGTGTGTCAGTCTGTGTCGGTCTGAGTCGGTCTGTGTCGGTCTGTGTGTGTCAGTCTGTGTGTGTCAGTCTGTGTCGGTCTGTGTCAGTCTGTGTGTGTCAGTCTGTGTGTGTCGGTCTGTGTCAGTCTGTGTCGGTCTGTGTGTGTCAGTCTGTGTGTGTCAGTCTGTGTCGGTCTGAGTCGGTCTGTGTCGGTCTGTGTGTGTCAGTCTGTGTGTGTCAGTCTGTGTCGGTCTGTGTCAGTCTGTGTGTGTCAGTCTGTGTCGGTCTGTGTCAGTCTGTGTCAGTCTGTGTGTGTCAGTCTGTGTGTGTCAGTCTGTGTCGGTCTGAGTCGGTGTGTGTCGGTCTGTGTGTGTCAGTCTGTGTCGGTCTGTGTCAGTCTGTGTGTGTCAGTCTGTGTCGGTCTGTGTCAGTCTGTGTGTGTCAGTCTGTGTGTGTCAGTCTGTGTCAGTCTGTGTTGGTCTGTGTCGGTCTGTGTCGGTCTGTGTCAGTCTGTGTCAGTCTGTGTCGGTCTGTGTAGGTCTGTGTCAGTCTGTGTGTGTCGGTCTGTGTGTGTCGGTCTGTGTGTGTCGGTCTGAGTCGGTCTGTGTCGGTCTGTGTGTGTCAGTCTGTGTTGGTCTGTGTCGGTCTGTGTCGGTCTGTGTCGGTCTGTGTGTGTCAGTCTGTGTGTGTCGGTCAGTGTGTGTCGGTCTGTGTGTGTCAGTCTGTGTGTGTCAGTCTGTGTCAGTCTGTGTCGGTCTGTGTCGGTCTGTGTCGGTCTGTGTCGGTCTGTGTCAGTCTGTGTCGGTCTGTGTGTGTCAGTCTGTGTGTGTCGGTCAGTGTGTGTCGGTCTGTGTGTGTCGGTCTGTGTGTGTCGGTCTGTGTGTGTCGGTCTGTGTGTGTCAGTCTGTGTGTGTCGGTCTGTGTCAGTCTGTGTCGGTCTGTGTCGGTCTGTGTGTGTCAGTCTGTGTGTGTCGGTCAGTGTGTGTCGGTCTGTGTGTGTCGGTCTGTGTGTGTCGGTCTGTGTGTGTCGGTCTGTGTGTGTCGGTCTGTGTGTGTCGGTCTGTGTGTGTCGGTCTGTGTCGGTCTGTCTCAGTGTGTGTCGGTCTGTGTGTGTCGGTCTGTGTCGGTCTGTGTCGGTCTGTGTCGGTCTGTGTCAGTCTGTGTACTGACACAGACCGACACAACCCTGGTACAGAACATACTTAAACGCTTTTCCTCCAGCGCCTTTTTAAAGTTCTCTGTTCTCCTGTGTCATTCTCTGCCTCTGTCCATCTCTGCCTCTCCCCCTCTCTTCCTCTGCCCCTCTCTGCCTCCACTCCTCTCTGCCCCTCTCTGCCTCTGTCCCTCTCTGCCTCTGTCCCTCTCTGCCTCTCCCCCTCTCTTCCTCTGCCCCTCTCTGCCTCCACTCCTCTCTGCCCCTCTCTGCCTCTGTCCCTCTCTGCCTCTGTCCCTCTCTGCCTCTCCCCCTCTCTGCCTCTGTCCCTCTCTGCCTCTGCCCCCCTCTACCTCTGCCCCTCTCTGCCTCTGCCCCTCTCTGCCTCTGCCCCTCTCTGCCTCTGCCCCTCTCTGCCTCTCCCCCTCTCTGCCTCTCCCCCTCTCTCCCCTCCTTCCTCTGCCCCCTCTTCCTCCTCCCCCCTCTCTTCCTCTCATCCTCTCTGCCTCTCCCCCTCTCTGCCTCTCTGCCTCTCCCCCTCTCTTCCTCTGCCCCTCTCTTCCTCCCCCTCTCTGCCTCTCCCCCTCTCTTCCTCCCCCTCTCTTCCTCTGCCCCTCTCTGCCTCTCCCCCTCTCTTCCTCTCCCCCTCTCTGCCTCTCCCCCTCTCTTCCTCTCCCCCTCTCTGCCTCTCCCCCTCACTTCCTCTCCCCCTCTCTTCCTCTTCCCCTCTCTGCCTCTCCCCCTCTCTTCCTCTGCCCCTCTCTTCCTCCCCCTCTCTTCCTCTCATCCTCTCTGCCTCTCCCCCTCTCTGCCTCTCCCCCTCTCCCCCTCTCTTCCTCTTCCCCTCTCTTCCTCTCCCCCTCTCTTCCTCTCCCCCTCTCTGCCTCTCCCCCTCTCTTCCTCCCCCTCTCTCCCTCCCCCTCTCTTCCTCTCATCCTCTCTGCCTCTCCCCCTCTCTGCCTCTCCCCCTCTCTGCCTCTCCCCCTCTCTGCCTATCTCCCTCTCTTCCTCTGCCCCTCTCTTCCTCCCCCTCTCTTCCTCTCATCCTCTCTGCCTCTCCCCCTCTCTGCCTCTCCCCCTCTCTGCCTCTGCCCCTCAGTTTGGTGAGTATTGAGTGAGCAGGTTTCCTGAGCCTCATCATGACTATTTTAGGGCAACAGTTGTTCTGGTCTCGTCTGCAGCACAGACTCTGCTCCAAAGGCCACAGTCTCTGGTGCTGTGTCATTCAGCTGCAAAAACCATGGGTAAGGTTGATGGTACCACAGTCACTAACACAGCAGTGTGGCCTGGTACATACTATGTGTGTATTTCATGTCCAAGAAATTCATCAATCACTGTTAATGTTTTATTTATTAGGTTTTTTATATTAAAGTTGTAACGAGTTCATTGATTAATCACTTTTCATTATTGAGTTGTCAACTAATTTAATAATCAAACACATGCACTGCAAAAATAGTAAAATATAAGATTTTAATAACTTGAATGAAGTGTTTTTTATCTTAATTTGAGCACATTCTGAGTGTGTTAAAACCAGATCATGTTCCTTCTCTCTTTGGCAACTCTTGTTTTAAAACAGTAAAAATGTGCTCATTTACATACGTTTAGCTAAATTTGAGCAATTTTTGACTTACTTTTCATCAATTTTTTCAGTGTTTAATTATTATTGACCTATATTTAACCAGGAAAGTCCCCGAGTTTGAGTTTAGAGTTGGGGGCAAACCGGAGCACCCAGAGGAAACCGGAGCACCCAGAGGAAACCTACGCAGATACGAGGATAACAAACTCCACTCAGAAAGAGCCAGGACTGAAACCCAGGACTTTACAATAAACAATAAATCAGACATGAGCCATCACTGCTCTGCTCCGGGCTGAGCGCAGGACGATCACGGATGAAGGAAGTAGTTTTTATAACTGTTGGAAGTTATAAAGGAAGGACTGGCCACATTAGTCCAGTCCTCAGGTCTCTGCGCTGGCTTCCTGTGGCTCAGCTCTGCTACAAGTCTCTCCATGGCACCGTGGGCGGCACGGTGGCTGAGTGGTTAGCACTCTCGCCTCTCAGCAAGAAGGTCCTGGGTTCGAATCCCGGTCGGACCAGGGCCTTTCTGAGTGGAGTTTGCATGTTCTCCCCGTGTCTGCGTCGGTTTCCTCCGGGTACTCCGGTTTCCCCTACCACTAAAAATATGTCCAATAGTTCTGACATGTGCCTCCTGTACTGGCCCCGCTCCCATCTCTGTGTGGAGTGAGAGACAAATGCCCAAAATTAACAATTGTAAACCGCTTTGAGACTCAGATCTGCAGTGAAAAGGCGGTATATAAATAAAAACTTACTAACTTACTTACTACTTATGGCCTCGCACCAAAGTCTGTGACATGTTAGTGCCATATGAACCAATTCTGAGGAGCACAGGGACTGGCCTCCTGCTGGGACTCTGAGGAGCACAGGGACTGGACTGGACTCCTGGAGTCCAGTCCTGGACTGGACTCCTGCTGTGGACTTTGAGGAGCACAGGGACTGGCCTCCTGCTGGGACTCTGAGGAACACAGGGACTGGCCTCCTGCTGGGACTCTGAGGAGCACAGGGACTGGTCTCCTGCTGGGACTCTGAGGAGCACAGGGACTGACCTCCTGCTGGGACTCTGAGGAGCACAGGGACTGACCTCCTGCTGGTCCCAGAGTCAGGACTGAGCATGTGGAGGCAGCATTTCAGATTCACTCCGCTATAATACACAGTCTTACTGAAAATGTGAGACAGGCTTCTTCTCTGACATTGCTTTATCTTTGCTACAACTGAGGGATTGTATCTTCTGTGATTATTTCTGATTTTAATGTTTCTTCTTTCTTTGAGATGCCTTGTGTATAACTCGCGCTTCACAAATAAACTGGCCTTAACAAACACACACGTTTCCTCTTCTTTGGGGCAGATTTAAAACAAAACTGAACTTTTCCAACCCACCCGGCGGGTCTCTCCCTCAGAACACTCTCACGGCTCCGTCTCTTCCAACGGGGAAGTATTATGAATGTGTTGTGAACTATACAGACGTGGGTCCTGATGCGCAGCACGACCATATATGGACTTGCACAGAGAGTAAACAGACCGAGGCCCCAGCACAAATATTTAACAGTGCACGTGCTCCCTGTGCGCACTGACAGGAACAAGAACTAATTCATCACGATCTCCTGAAGACACACTCCTGACTCTGACACGCCTCGTCGGGACTTCAAACAGTAGCTACACGGCAAAAAAAAATTAAATATGGGGTAAGAATAGCTTGAATCGAGTGGTTTTTACCTCATTTTGAGCACATTCTGACTGTGTTAAAACTACATTTGCCACAAAGCCGTTCTTAATTCCAAAACTGTTGCCTTATTTTCTCATTCTACGGGAGACGTTTTTTTAAATATCTTTTCAAAACAATATCATTTTGCTTTGTCCCGTTGGACAATTATGTTTTGAGGCTCAGTCCGAATGTGCTCCAATTGAGAAATGATTGACTGATTATTCACCACTTTTTGCCGTGTATCGGATTCAGATTCATTTATTTGCCATTTGCAGTAAAACCACATTGGAAAAACTGTGCAAGACTACCCCAATGTGTATCTCAGGGGACTTCGCCAACACAGATCAGAAAATCAAACGGTTCAAACTCAAGAAATGTACTGAAAAAAACACATAGAGCCATTGGTCCATGAGGGACAGATGAGTAATGTCCATAAATGTGGATAAAATGTCCTGGATCATCACCAGTGTCGTTGTGGTCCCTCCTGGTTCTTACAACACCCCCATAGAAACGTTCTAATGATCGGTTATGCTGCTGCTGAGAATGTCCAGCCCCAACAGAGCCATGATGTGACATGAGGAACAAACGTGTCCTATTGGTGTATTTATAAAGCCAGTTTACAGGCTTGGATTCAGATTCATTTATTTGCCATTTGCAGTAAACCCACATTGGAATAGATTTGCAAAAGTCCCCAGTGTGCACAAGACAAGCACTTTTTTTCTTATGTGCATGTTTTTAAATCTTCTTTCACACTGTCCATGGTTTTTCTGTGTTGTTCTGTAATTTCAGTAAAGCCTGGTTCACACGGCAGGATATTTAGGCCGATTTACCCCTTACGACAATCTTAAGAAACGCTCCGATTTCCGTAACAAAATCTTACAGATTATCCTGCCGTGTGTGGTGTGTTAAGACTGTGCTCGTCGCTCGGAAGGACATCGGGACTGCTTCCGATCTCAAATCGGGGATATCCAACATGTTGGATTGTTTTGGCCCGATTTCTCTTCGTGTGTGGTGTCCCCCGAGGACAGACATGCGCGTTGCCATGACTGCGGCGTGTAGCCAATCAGAAGACGAGACGAGGCGGTGAGGAAACGCCTCCATATCACGATGTAGCAAGTATAGTCCATGCTCGTGTCGTCTACACTTCTTTGACCATCGCCTTTTCTTTTCATTACGTCTTTTCTCCGATAAAAACAAACTATCGCCAATGCATCCTCTTCGTCCGCCATGTGTGTTTACTCTGAAGTCACGCTTGATCTCGCGAGACCTGAGATTTCCGTCTGATCTGTGAATACTCGGGGGGGGATCGGTTCGTGTGTGGTTTGCGTGATTTTTGCCGTGTGGCTGCACCACACACTGTACGACCAAAGTGGTTAGACCCGTGATTTTTTATCTCCCTGTGTGGGGTCTCACACAGAGAAAAATCGGCCGACAATTTTAAAATCGTCTCGTGTGAACCAGGCTTAAGTCCCACAGTGGGGAAATGTCAGTGTTGCATCACCAGTTACAGAACAGTAGGAAAGAGGAACACACGGCACAAGATAAATGAACAATAACTCTAAACTAAAATAGCTTTAGCATAATAAAGAAGCTAGTATAAAACAAGCCCCGGCGATTCAAGATGGCGCCCTATTCAAATGAATGGTTGTGCTAAGTGGCGCTTTGTGACGGCATGGGGGCTGAAGGAGTAGCTGAAGTCGCCTGGAACTCGCAAAGATCTATGGGAAACTCTCAAAGATCTATGGGAAACTCTCAAAGATCTATGGGAAACTCTCAAAGATCTTTGGGAAACTCTCAAAGATCTATGGGAAACTCTCAAAGATCTATGGGAAACTCTCAAAGATCTATGGGAAACTCAAAGATCTATGGGAAACTCTCAAAGATCTATGGGAAACTCTCAAAGATCTATGGGAAACTCTCAAAGATCTATGGGAAACTCAAAGATCTATGGGAAACTCTCAAAGATCTATGGGAAACTCTCAAAGATCTATGGGAAACTCTCAAAGATCTATGGGAAACTCTCAAAGATCTATGGGAAACTCTCCTGTATTTGGGCATCGTCTGGTCCTCCCGGTTCTGCGCAGTGGATGATCTCCAATAATGCTTTGCACCAAACACGCGTGTGTGGGTCAGCCACGCTCTGACCAATCAGAGCAGTTCATCAGAGCGGGAGTTAGAGCGAGAGCCAGACGAGCAGAGTTTGTGGCACTAAAGTGTGGATTTAAACAAAACCGAAGGATTTAAGAAGAAAAAAAGGATGACAAGGGACACTAAAATCCCCACAAAATCTGACCTTTATGAAAGCTGTAGGTTCTCTGTCAGGTTCTCTGTCAGGTTCTCTGTCAGGTTCTCTGTCAGGTTCTCTGTCAGGTTCTCTGTCAGGTTCTCTGTCAGGTTTTCTGTCAGGTTCTCTGTCAGGTTCTCTGTCAGGTTCTCTGTCAGGTTCTCTGTCAGCTGAGGTTGAGCTGTTTTAATATGTATTGAGTTCTATGGGAAAAATGTCTGGGTAGCCCAAGTGAATTTAGTCTGGTTCAGTCTGGTTCAGTCTGCAGTACCGCGAGAATCCCCCGAGCACATGAGTTATTCAGCTACAAGCTAGTAATACTCTATCCAGTTATTATAATAGATCCATGGTATAAAATCTCCAGCTTTAGCATCATAAAGAAGCTAGTATATAATCTCTCTTGTTGTTGTCTATTGTGCACACTAGGTATAAATATACGTTTAAACATCCAATACATCTGAATCCGGGGTCAACAAACAGAAAACGAATCTGCATCTGTAACATAATCACTCGTGACCAGGTGTGAATGATCGCATGTATTTACA